CTTCAAGCAGACACAACTTTATAAATGACTATGTTAACATTTTATTCACTTCAGCACACATCAATCTCTGTATAAGTGACTCTTCCTTAATTGTACCATAACACTTTATGAAGCGGTTTGTTACTGCGGGGTCTTCAAGCTAATCATTTCATGGTTTTATTGGTCATTTCATTTTTTTTTTCTATTCAGCATTTGAAACTCAATATAGTTACATTTTAGCGCCTCATCCAAACTCTTTTCGGCTGGTTTCCCTGGAGAGCCAAAGAAACGCAGTACTAAAATGCACATTATGATACTTCCTCCTCACTTTCTAAGCACTCCAGGAGAGACAGTCGGGCAGGGTCATATAACCACACTGCTGCTCCAATTACTGCTCTTTTACTTCCTACCTCGTCTTCATTATCACACCCAGGTCATCTGATAGGGCCACTGGGCACCACTGTATGCGTCTGGTCCGCCTGCAGTGAGAAGTCGCTTAAGGCTGACACTGTAGTAATAGTCTTGTAAATAAAGCTACAATGAACTGTGAAGGGGTTTATTGGAAATGTTTCCTGGGTAGATCATTCTGTACTATAATGTCACTTTAGTTTGGGATTTGGCTGAGGAGCTCTTTAAAGCCAGGGCAGATAGAGATGCCATGTGCTCCCCAGACCAATACCACCCTCTCCAGATGTGAAAAGGAAAAACTTACTTCGTGTCCTCTTTCACATCTGTTACAGCTGACTGTTTGAAGTGGTACTTTAACAAAACCAGAACCTCTGCTATAAATGATAATAATAAGGAACTTCTTCACTGAAGTAATTATGTAGTCATAGTTCTCTTTTAGTTAATTTTTAAATCTAGCAATATTATTATTTTTAGAAACTATCAGTCCTGGTGCTATTACAATTAAGGACATGGCTCTGTGTGCCACTAACTTGTAGTTGTTTGTGCTTAGTCTGCCCTCTGCTGGTCATCTAAGCAAACAGACAGATAAACAGAGGATATGCAGTACTGGGAGGAAATACTACAATGTTATTTTTAGTAAATAAAATAATAATGTGATACACTATAAATATGTTGACTATGTAATGACAAAAATGAGGTAGAACATCAAAACTAAATGTATGAAATGTATGAACATTATTGATGTCCACACAAGCTAATAATTAATGCCTATATTTAACTGTGATGAAATGAGACATGTAATGTAACAGGGCTTTTTTTTTTCTGGATACTTGCTTTACATTACATTATTTATTTACTCCACACCTGGTGATGGTGAGGTCTTTCTGCTGGACACAAGACCTGCTTGGTGCCATCCAGCAGCTCACTCACAACATTCAAACTAAGGTGGATGTGTCTTGCCTAAAGACACAATGACAGTATGCTTTAGAGGCAATTCCCATTATGTCCCATTATGGCACCTAGTATTCCCAGCAGTATCCCCTCCGAGAACTAACCAGACCCAACCCTGCTTAGCTTTAGGCATACCTACATACATTAACCAAAACTTTATGTGCATGTTTATTAGCAATTAGTCACAAAAATATATGTTGCATAAACTGTATACAGCTGCTACTAGTTGGATGTCTATATTAAGTTATTTGCTAAACTGACAATAGGTAGCCAACACAGTTCATAGTACTAATGGCTACTATATGAGCCTTCAGGATCAATCATCCAAGGAAAAGCATATACAAAGACAGCTGGGCCATTTATTTAGGTCTCTGGAGACACAATTATACCCAGACAGAGTGCTGCAGACCGACACAGAGACAGGCCGTTCAATTACAATAAGTGAATAAAAGGCTCCGCCTACTGGACAAAAGTGAGAACTGCAGCAGCTCTTCACCAAGCCAATTAACTTGCAGCATAAAAGTCTCCAAGCATTAATAAGATGCAATTTGGGCCCAATTAGAAACATGGGAAATTTAGCATAGGGCATTTCCATTGGCAGATTGTAATGTGGCCATGTTCCTAATTATATAGAGTGTAATGATGGCATATACTGGCTTTGGCCTTTTCTCTGCAGACATAAAACACCAGCAGCCTTTAATTGGACAAGATCTTAATGCTTAGTTCATAATTCATAACTGATTTCTCTGCAGTGCTCTGAGATTTCTAGACAGCAGCTGTAAAAGCTCAGCTCAGTCGCATTCACGTACAGATGGTGGCAATGTCCTTTATTGACCTTAAGGAACAACATCGGTGCAGAATGTAAAATAGTCCAACGAACATTACATGTGTTGAGGTTTATGAAATATACTTAAGTAACTAGTTGTCTTCTTTCACCCATTGTTCAGGTTTCCAAGCACATACACACATGATACTGAAAATGCAGCCCTAACTCACTCACACGCTAGCTCGCTTCACCATTAGGGAGAGCCAGCACATCCCAGCCCCCACCTCCCCCTCAAAACCCCTCTAGCTGGCTGCCCCCCCTTCCTCCTCCTCTCCTCCCTCTCCTCCCTCTCTCTCATGGCTCGTTGCCATGGAAGCTGATTGGAAGGATTGCTCTGTCTCTCCAGCACACTGCCACTCCATCCTTGGCGAGAGAAAACAAGGCAACTCTGAACATAGCAGATAACAGCCAACTGAAATTGTACTTTCACCACACCGTAAACACATCTTGAGTACCTGTGCATGCATTTAAACAGCTGTGATGACACGCACTGTATTGTTCAGTGATTTATGTATTTCAAAAGCCGTAAACGTGAAGCTACATATATCCTTTTACACGATTACTACCTCTCTTTAGTGCAGAAAGCATACTCCAAATTTGATGCACAGTAAAATATTCTCCACCTAGAAGAGAAAGGAAGGAGAGCAAAAGGTGCAACCGTGACAAGCCATTTTACACGATAAGCAGCTCCAAAATATTCCATGGCTAATCAGAGGCTGAAACTATTTTAAGACGACTGAGTGAGAATTTAGGAGGAGAAAAATCCAGTCTGGTGAACAAATGAAAGGAGCACGCATGCAATCTCTGTGTATGTGAATAGAACATGCAAGCTCAAGGTTAGGGCATCATTACTGATATTTTCCAAGAAGTGATGAAATAGAAAGGCAGAACATTCAGTATCGTTATAGCAACAATGTTTAGGGGCTTGTGTGTGTGTGGGGTTGCTTTTTTACCTATTTATATAAAACCAAAAGCATGGTGTTGCCTTTTTCATTGGTGTAATGTTTCTAAATATAACAAGTTTTGCACACGCGTTTGCTGCTACAGGTAGTAAACAGTTTTGTTCGATATGAAAAAACATGGGGAGTTAATGAGTTTTACTTCATCCTGCCAGTGCTATCATCTGAGGACATACCACACATTGTTAATTAAATTGGCTCCTAAACTATAGTGGAGACAGCTTGTGTGCACCGCAGTGCCTCAATCTACCAAAAACTATGCAACAACATTCATTATTTTGTTCTGTCTACATATCTTTGTGCATGTTTACGGGGTTCAGAACACTTCAACTATATCTTCACAAACAAGGCTGAAGTCAAAACTATCTCTTAAAACTCAATGCATGAACACCTTACTTAAATCAGGCTGGCTGAGGTTTTGACATAATCCACGCCAATTACACATAGCAACTGCATGTGTTCAATCTTTCATGACTTACAGCTTTCCTTTTTGAGCTAACATTTGGTGGATCTATTCACTGTAAAAGAAAGTGTAGCTTTCAGATAAATTAGTGCCACATGAAGAATTCCAATTGTGATTCAGTTTTGGCTGTTAAGTTTCATATTATTCAAGGTATTTCACAACATCGAATTTATACTTTCCACCCCCCTCCTAGTCCATGCAGCCTCCCCCTTCCTCTCTTTATGATCTCAAAGGGGGCTTGCTTCACCTCAGTCAGGCTTCAGTGCTCCAGTCGGCAGCAGCAGCAGCAGCACAGCTAACAAGTCTTTGTGAGGGGAGAGGGAGGAAGGGAATGGGCGAGCGAATGGGCAAGCAGACAGTGTAGCAGTATAAGAGAGAGAGAGAGGGAGAAAGAGTGCGAGAGAGTGAGAGTGAGAGGGAGAGAGAGAGAGGGAGGAGAGAGAGCAAGAGAGAGAGAGGAAGGCAAGCATCATGGCAGCGCTCACTGCATCATCACGACACATGGGGATGTTTGGCTGCTAGTGGAAGCTGGGTGATGCAGAGTACAGATAGCCAACGACTTCCTGAAGACCTAATCCACGAAACAGGTCAGTGGCATTGTTTAAAAAGGATTATAATTAGACTATGGGTCTGGTCTATGAATGATGTCAATGCTTCTGCTGATGCTGTGTGAGGTTTGTCAATAAGAATTCCCCTGTTACTGTTTAGGATGTGCAACTAGGCTGAGGGAGGTAGTCCATGCATGCTGACACGTGAGAGCTGATTTAAAGCGGACAGGTAAAAAGATGTGTCCAGGAAATAGGCTACAATTAAATGCTAACCCTTTGTACAGTAATTATGCAGAGTTTTAATTCCTGAAGGAGAGAGACGCCAATGATTCAAAATAAAGAAGTAAGAGGGTAGCAGGCTAGCAGAAGAAAGAGGAGGTCTTTGCTTATAGAAGTAGGAAGTGGTGCCTTGGACCGGCATTCAGCTCTACTGCATATGATGTAATCCTATACCAGTCCAGCTCCCAAGCAGCCACCACAAAGAAGTGCTATAGCATTCATACAAATTCAGAAAATGTTCAGCAGAATATCAATACATGTTAGCTGTATTTTCTACCAGGGTCCATGAGGGATTCATGAGATACAATGATATATATCTGGTGGAGAGTAGGAGGTTACCAAATTAAAAAAAGAAGAAGAAAAAAAAAACAACTTAAGATTTTATTTCATAATGCTGACTAATCCAAGGTCACTTCCTGATGCTATGAGCAGTGCAAATGTGCTCCTTAGATTTCCCAAGACACATCATTATGAGTCACAGAGCTAAAATTAGTATATATTGTTTGTTTGGCCTTGAAAAAGTCACACTTTATATGAGGAAAGTGAAGAAAAGTGGGATGTGTGCTTTCACCTGTGCAGGTGTGACCAGTGGGCGGAGCACCATGATCAGTGGAATCTTGAAGAGGAAACATGAAGAGGGCCCCTCCTCACATCTGTCCACGCCCGCCTCTGATGATGAGGTGTCCTGCAGTGACAGCGGCAACAGCAGTGACAGTCTCAACCACCCTGTGCCATCTGGACTGCTTAACTGTAAGATCACGTGACTACTGAGCTGACAGGGTCTACTACAGAATGATAACAGTTTCTATTCGTTTTAAATACCAATGAGATTACATGTGATGTGCTAAATGTTTAGTCTCTACATCCTTACATTAAGTTATTTTGTAGGCTAAAGCACTGTCACTCCTCCCCAGCTTCTCTGCAGCAAAAGTCCAAGAGATTTCGCGGTCGAAACGTGCACTTTGAGAACGTGACAGTGTACTACTTCGGGCGCAGACAGGGCTTCACCAGTGTGCCCACTCAGGGGGGCAGCACCCTGGGCATGTCGCCCCGTCACAGCTGCGTCAAGAACTTCACCCTCCGGGAGTTCGCAATGGAGCAAAAGCGCAGCCACCGCAACATGCTCCGACACCACCTGAAAGAAGAGAAACTCAACGCCATCAGACTCAAAGTGAGCCATGTCACATACAGAGTGTATTACGGGTTTATCTCCATTTTTATCGGTAAATAGCATAATAAACCATGGTAATTTCACATATTTGGTCATATTTTTCTACATTTGAAATGGTTAGCTATCTGCTAAATCCTAATTAGCTTGTCTATTTACTTAAGTCTCTGAATATGGTGGTTTTCTCAATAAAGTTTATGCTAATATCTAGCTTTGCGAGTTTGGTTACTAAAAACGTTGTGTCCTGAGGGTTTGAACGTGCGTAGGCGTAGATTTTCACAAAGACTTTTATAATGTGTTCCGCAGCTCACCAAGAATGGCACGGAGTCCTCTGTGGAGGCGGACACCCTGACGTTAGACGACATTTCTGTGGACGAGCTGGACGTGGACAACACTGAGGTGGATGACTACTTCTTCCTGCAGCCGCTGACCACCAGGCGGCGCCGTGCTCTGCTCCGTGCCTCCGGGGTGAGGCGCATCGACGTGGAGGAGAAACACGAGCTGCGCGCCCTGCGCCTGTCCCGGGAGGAGTGTGGGTGTCGCTGCAGGGGCATGTGTGACCCGGAGACCTGTGCCTGCAGCCTGGCCGGCATTAAGTGCCAGGTAAATGGATCTGTGGTGAGGCCCAACTGTAATACACTACTACTTTTGTCACTCACTTATTGTGTGTTTGCTTATCTTACTGCCACATTAGCCAGTAATGTATCTAGTAGACTTTATTTGTTCGAGTTTAAATCAACAGTTGAAATCAATCAGTTGCTTAATTGATAGAAGAAACACATCACGTGATTCTTAAATCATTAAACAGAGTAGCCTATTGCTTCAAGAGATTTCCCTAAAATTTGTTTACACAGTTGTGTTATACATGTTTGATTTACTTTACACCATTTCATAAGTCTAAAATGACTCTTTCCTTCCACATTTGTGCCCAGGTGGACCGCATGTCCTTCCCATGTGGCTGCACCAAAGAGGGCTGCAGTAACACCACAGGTCGCCTGGAGTTCAACCCTGTGCGTGTCCGGACCCACTTCCTCCACACCATCATGAAGCTGGAGCTGGAGAAGAGCCGTGAGGAGCAACCACATCACCGCCAGCAACCACTGCCGCCAGAACATCAGCAGCAGCAGCTCGTAACCAACGGCAACGGTTTCCATAGCGACCCCTCCTCTCTGGTCCAGACGCAGCAACAGCCGAACCTCCAGTTCCCTCTCATGATGCACCTCCAGAACGACACAACGGACCCCCATTTGGATGACGAGGAAGAGGAGGATGAGGATGAAGACGACGAAGAGGAAGAAGAGGAGGATGAAGCCTATGAGGACGAGGAGGATGGAAGTAGTGTTTGCAGTGGCCTTTCAGACTGTAGCACGCACAGTTTAGACACCAATGACCCAGAGGAAGGAGAGGACAGTGAGGAAGAGGAGGATGAGGAGGATGACGATGGAGAAGAGGAGGAAGAGGACGACTGGGACTGCCCTTTACAAAGCACAAACGCACCTCCATACCCAGTCCCTCTCCCGTCTATTCTGACCTACTCTAACAATGCACTAACAAGTCCCCCCTTCTCTTACAACAGAGACAGTGAAAACCACCCCACTCTCCCCACTGTGGACACAGCTCTAAACTCCGATCAGGGCGTCCCGTGCCGTCTCCCTCCCCACCCGCTTCCCAACTCCCCAAATCTCTCACATGCACAGCTACGTGAGGGCGAAGCTGCCTCTAGTGGTGAACATTCTGCACTGCTCCAGAACAATCCAGACTGGTGTGACTCACAAACTGAAAATGTGGCCAAGGAGCAGACAGGGGAGGAAGAAGGAGAGACTTTGGAAGAAACCAATCAAAACGCAACTTAGAATCCTTTACAAATGTGATGTTCGATAAGTGCACTTCCATATGGAGCTAACAGACCATGAGTGGCACACAAAATGATCCAATTTTATCTTTGTTGGTTTTAAACAAAATACTTGGTCAATAACCTTTGTTGTTATTCTGTATTACATATAGTCCAATTGTTGTTCTAGTCTTGAGACACATCATTAGCATGTTTTCTTAAGCCAGTTTCTATGACAAGTCCATAAGGTTCTGAGGTTCTGGCAACATTGTGAAGTCTCATTACATTCAGTGCCACTATGTCTTACAGTTGCTGCTAATTGTTTTCAATGGCTGTCTGTACCGCATGTGTTCAGTTTACTTAAAATAGTTCACTACTAGCAATATGAACTGAATAGAAATTACAATATTTTACAGCCATATGTTAGTATCTGCAAAGGTTGATAGTGATGGGACATACACATTTCAGAATGTCATTTTTGTATTGTTTATATGAATGCCAAAGCATAAATAATTCAGCACCATGTTGTAATATACTATACCATGGAAAATTAATCATTTACAGCTTATAGTTAAAGTGACGCTCAAAACTGCCAAAAATGGTGCCATTATAACATGCTTGCTTTAGAGGACGATGTCATTTGCAAATAAAGTGTCTTTTTTACATCAGAAGTGTTTTTCTTTTGCTTCAGTCTCACCTTGGACGTCCAGTTACATACAGTTCAACCAGCAGATGGCGCTAGTGATCTATCAATTGGCTTTACTTCGTCCAGAGCTTAAAACGTGGAGACAAAAACATTTTTTCTGACGTCAGTACATCTGTTGATTGCACGTTTTCTGCTTGGGACACTGAGACATGAGTGTGCACAAATCTTGTCTTTTGTCAGTGAGCGCAAAAGCATTCAGGCCTAGTTCCGGTGAGATTTTGGCGCACCTGTCGCTTCTCTTGCGTCTCTTATTGGACAGGGCGTTGATGAGACCCCCTGTATTCGTGTGAATGGTATTTTCACATAGGCTATAGGATTATGTCTGTATTCCATGTCCTAACCACATTACAAACAGGCGCAGCAGCAGGTGTTGGGACAATAGAGTTTCATAATGTTTGGATATAGGTCTAATGGTGGCTTTTAGCTGCGTAACAGCGATATATGGGTTTACAGTAGTAGCCTATAGCCCTGGTTCTGATTAAGGACAGAAAGTGGGCACGTGACTCCCTCCTTTTCTTACATAATGCGTCTGCTGAGTTGTGCGTCCACTCCGTTAGCTTGTTGATATTGGAGAAAGGGAAGCCTGCCTGCTTTTTTTCATGCGCGAAAGGTATTGTGGGTAAGTGAACTTAGAGGCTGCTGATCAATCACAGGCAGGGGAGCTGTGATGTTACGGTTGCTAGGTAACAGGAGGGGAGATGCAGGAGCAGGATCTGCGCGCGTGGAGGGTGAGGAGGAGGGAGTGGGGTGGGGGCAGATTCGACTTTTTATCTGCTTTTGTCTAGAGGCACGGGTCACCCAAAACAACCATACTGTACCCTCTCATCTGTAGCTATTGTTAGTGCTGAATTGACTAATAAAAGAATTACACGAAGATTAGAACCATCAATATGCAATAGAGAAAGCTCGAAGCATGTTGTCACATTTTGTCATTTCTGTCTCTGTCTCTGAAACCGAACACAACAGAAATGTAAAATGTATATCAAATGAAAGAGCAACATCTCAGCCATTGTTTGACTTTTCATTTCATCTCTGTCTAGTATACTCTCAGAGTTATAAGAGCTCCAACACAAGGTTGGGGCTGACATATGCCTTGGTCTCCCCAGTGCAAAGAAATATGTGCTTCCTAAGGCTTTAAAGTAGTTAAATTGTCTTTACAAGAGGCACCTATTCAGTGAGATAAATTGCAGTAGAATTAAAACACGTAGTCCAGTTGCCTTTGTTTGACCTTCTGCCATCGTTTACCTCCTGTGTTAGACAGCCCAGCTGTCTGATCCTCCACCACTTGTGTGCACAAGAAGAAGAGTATACTGATCCGCTTAGCCACTTAAACACTTCAGCTCTCACCACAAAATGAAAGCATTTAGCATGCAACATACGCTTCCCAAAATATGTTTTATTTTGGAAATCTGGGTTTGTGTTTCTTTGCCACATCTTTGGTTGTAACAAAAAGAAAACTCACTTGTCACATTTTGCAAATTGATACATAGTTAAGTGTAACACATGAATGATCCTGTCAACCAAAAGTTCCTGTCATGTTGGAGCAATCATACGTCAGATCCACGTCACAGATGTCACTCACAGAGAAATCAAAACTGTAGCAAAGGTCAATGGAGAAAATAAACAAGCGTTTACAAAAAAATACGTCCTTTATTCTTTTGGCTTTAAAATGATATTACCATATGAGCGGACAGTAGTCACTTCTTGCATGCAGTTCACCAAAACACCACAAGCGCAATGAGAGATGGCTACTGATTGCTTCATGGTTTGTATCTACAGATATGGGAACCATGTTCGGAAACAAAATCTAAAAAAGTATGGAAATCAAAATAAAAAATGCACTTGTATCTACAGTAAAAATGTTATTTATAATTGGTAAGCAACCCACAGACCCCAGTTGAACACACATATTGTACTCTTGTTTCTACAAAGACGCACAAAAAGGACACATTCTTCTCTTTCACACACTTACATGTTTGACTGCCACACGTGGTTTTACACAGCAGTGGGAATTAAAAAGTGCTCTTACATCAACTGTAAGTGTGATGCATACTGTGGACCCAAATAGCTAGAATATATACAAACTGAATCACTACATGAATTCACTCGCTTCTCAACTGCAACAACGTGAACGTCATACAAACATCTGTGATAGTATATCCTTTAAATGTCTTTGTTATATATTGTCAGCAAGAGTGTATTAGAAAGATTCTTTTCTGTATATTTCATTACAATATTTTCTTTACAAGAACTCTGGTTTGAAGGAGGAGGACGACAACTGCAAAACAGGAGTGTGGGTTGCCATAAGTGGGCCTGGATCAGTCAGCTTGCATACATTCTCAGTATTATTAGTAGGGAAACAGCTTCAAATGGTCAGAAATGGCAAACCAGTGAGTACAACATTGTAACTCATTGGGATGCTACTGGTTTAGCCGTATATACTGTTAAATTGGCAAAAATCCTCCAGCAGTGACATTCTGGCCTTAGTGGTGAAAGCACATTCGCACAATAATGATGCAAAGTATAAAACATTCTTTCTCATAAAAAAAGGATTAACCCAAAAATGAGTACTTGTTATAGCGATTGTTAAATTCAAGACACTGGATTCATAGTAGCAGCAGCACTAGCTACAGACAACTTAACAGTACACTCAACTGTGTCAGATAGAACAACAACCAATGGGAAAATCACAAGCATTTTGCAAAGGCTTTTCACTCGTGTCTGGCAGTGTCTGCTGGATAACTCCATTTAGTCTTGTGCCCACTTTGATTCACATACGCATCTCCTCTCTTGGCGTGGCATTTTTTTACTCAATCACATACAAGTGAATGCACATTTTATCTATTCCTTCGAAACTGTAAACAAAATCTCGTCAAGTCTCTAATGCATTTTTGTTCATTTTTTTAAAGTCTATTTCTTTCTGTCTTTCAAGTCTTTGCCTTTGTTTTCTTTTTCTCTGTTGTCCTTCTCATATTTGTCCTTTTTGTCTGATTTTGTCACACTGTTGTAGGAAGGTGGGGAGGCCGTGGAAGGCGTCATGTCAGTTTTGTCAGATGTGGAGTTTTCATTGAATTTGCTGATGACCATAACGTCTTTATCTGGGTCGCGGATGCACTCCTTCAGCTGTTCCTTGTAGAGGGCCGATGCCTTCTTCATGGCTTGGCGGATCATATAGCGGCGGAAGGCCCTCTGGATCACTATGGCTGATACTTCCTCCTGTTTGCGTCTCAGTGTTGTGGTGATGGGCTCGTAGGAAACCTTTGAAGGATTAGAAGCCATAAAACGCTCCTCCATTTGGCCTCGGAGCACGTCCATCTCCCCACCTTCTCCCAACACACGCTTAGTGAATGCAAACAGGATGTCCAAGCAGTGGATCCGCTCACCACTAACCATAGGCAGGTCCATAGAGATAAGCGCAGCCATGTTGGGTTTAGGTATTCGTAAAGGTGGGTCCAGTGCATCTGCAAAGTCTGACAGTTTGCAGTACTCCACAAACTGCGTAGCATCAGGGTCGAAGCGCTCCCACACTTCGTAAAACATCTCAAAGTCATCCTCGCTCAGCGGCTCAGCACTCTCCTCCGTGGCCACGCTGAAGTTCTCCAAGATCACAGCAATGTACATGTTGACCACAATGAGGAAGCAGATGATAATGTAGCTCACAAAGAAGAAGATGCCCACAGATGGGTTGCCGCAGTTGCCTTTATAGGAGTTTCCCGGGTGCTCCATTTGGCTGTCACAGTCCGGCTCTCTCTTATTGAGAATAGGAGCCAGCAGTCCGTCCCAGCCGGCTGACGTGGTGATCTGAAACAAACAGATCATACTGTTCCCAAAAGTCTCAAAGTTAAACATGTCGTCAATGCCCGACTCCCTCTTCACGTAGGCAAAGTTTGACATGCCAAAGATGGCATAGATGAACATGACCAGAAAAAGCAGGAGGCCAATGTTGAACAAGGCAGGTAGCGACATCATCAAGGCAAACAGCAGTGTCCGGATGCCTTTGGCACCTTTGATAAGGCGAAGAATCCGGCCAATTCTGGCCAGACGGATTACTCTGAACAGTGTTGGGGACACAAAGTACTTCTCAATAACTTCAGATAAAAACATACCTGTTAAAAAAAAACAACAACAACAACTTTAGGACATTGCACAGAAAAATAATAAGGTGAACTGTTTCATTAAAGATAGACACTCACCAACTATTGATAAGATTACAACAACAAAATCAAAAATATTCCAGCCAATGGTGAAGTAATAATGCCGCAGTGAGATCATCTTGAGCACACACTCTCCAGTGAAGAGGACAATGAAGACCAGGTTGATCCAGTACAGAATGTTGTCCATCTCTCTGGTCTGGTCATCCGTCTCCACCATCATGGTCACCATGTTCAGGCAGATCAGGATCATAATCACAATGTCAAAGGCCTGCTTCGTGATGCAGTCAAACACGCACCCTTGAAATGCATTCTGGGAACAGAGGCAAAATAGTATGTCAGTGATGAAAAAAAGAAAGGCTAAAGAAGACATACAGTTCTACAAATGTTCATCCCTAGAATCTGGACTGAGTTAAGACATCAATAAAGTGATGACAGATGACTGGTAACACATGTAGTGCAGTCAAATCAATACTAATCAATCAGCTTAAGACATGTGTTGCTCGTATAGGACATATATTTAAATATGTCTCTTACTGTTGGTCGAGGAATTGGCTTCTGTGGTTTCTTAGAGCCCAGCTTCTTCATGGCATTGTAGTATTTCTTCTGTTCTTCTGTCATGAAGATGTCCTGACCTCCAAAGTAAAGGAAGCAGAACAAATCTGGTTACAATCACATACACTAGAGAGACGTTCATTGTGATTTGATGTTTATGTTGTGGCTTTTTTAATGTCAAGTTCTTTATACTATGTGCTACATTTATGCTTCACTGCCAATCACTGCTCATTCAGTCAGAGATGTGTCCTCAGGGAGCACTGGTGTTAACGCTGAACCACCATCTGTGTGCTGCTGTTGCTGTAGGCCTGCTGAAAAGTGACAGCAAACACAGTGATAGCCCCCTCCCCCGCTCCCTCTTCCTCCTCTCCTCCTCTCCTCCTCCTCCTCTTCTTCTTCCTCCTCTGTCCTGGGCGTGTCCAGTGCTGCTTGTTTGTGTTTGTTTCCAGACTGCATGCATGGTGACTATGTAGTGTGTGGGCCTGGGTCTATGTCACTGACTCATGTACCCTCTGTGTCACACTTAGCAGCTCACCTCGTGTAACATATATTTTACTATAATGATAGATCCTTTCTAAATATAGTGCTTTTATTGTATCTACTTATTGTATCTACTACCAGTCAAAAGTTTTGATTCAGCTCCCATTCAATGTTTTTTCTATATATTTACTATTTTCTACACTTGATAAACATACAGAAAACATCAAATATATAAAGTAAGATGTGTGGAATTATGTAGAAAAGGGAAAGAAAGCCTCTAATAAACTACTAATTTAAAAAAAAAAGTATAAGCAAATCCTCAAATTATCCACCCTTTGCTTTGTTGCAAAATATTTCGTAGTGTTATTTAAATTTTTTCTTTACTATATAATTCCATATATCCTCCCTTTTGTATATATGTAAATTGTCAAAAGTAGTAAACATACAGAAAAGAAACACTGAATGAAAGGGTGTGTTTTTTTTTTTCTAGCATTCCTTTTAGTTATTACAGTAAGTGTAAAACGTGTTCATTGAATGTTTCTAAATGTAACTTATCTTCTTTTTTTGTTGGTTGAAGTTGTCGATGATGACACCAATGAAGAGGTTGAGGGTGAAGAAGGAGCCGAAGATGATGAAGATGACAAAGTATAGGTACATGTACAGATTCTCTTCGTATACTGGCTGGTCTCCGATCTGGAAGAGACAAAAGTAGCAGAAGAGAGTTAAGAGTATAGCATAGCATAGGATTTGATAAGAGAGATGACACAGAGGAAAATACTTACATCTCTGGAGTCCACAGCCGCATACATGATGTCCATCCAGCCTTTAAATGTTGCCTTGAGCAGAAAGAAATTTACCTTTGTGAAACAGTTTGTAACTGAACTCATTGTTCACTGATACAAACATCTCTTACACAGTGAGTATCACACCATTGTTTTGGTTAGATCCTGAGCTCAGTACAGTCCTGATATAGACTTGGTTTGACCCTTTTTTAGTCATGGTCTAGTCTAGGTTTATTTCCTTGTACAGTCCCATTTTAATTCACAGTTTAGTTTTGTTTGCTTATGACCAAATTTAGAAAGTGAAAAAGGACCTCAGGGAATGTGAATAAAAAACATATCCCACCGTGTAAAATATATGGCAAATAATATAATAATCAGGTTTTAGTTGTGATACCTGCTATCAGCATGTTCAGGCAGCTAGATCATTATACTTGAGCCATGTAATGTGTATGGTGTGTTATTATAAAAGGATATGAGCATATAATTAAAGGTGCACTATGTAACGTTTTGGTTGGGGGTCCATCGCCTGCTTATTTCTCTGAAGATACCATCGCTCTGCTTGCAGGGTTCAGCAGTATGACATTAAACAGCTCTACCTTACATTTATTCAATTACGGGTGGTTTAATAGCTCAAAAATATCTAGAAAAACAGGCATTCTGACTGTGAGTGAGGTCGCCTCTCCACAGCTCTGACCTGTAATTTGGTATGGTTTGGTCTCCATGAAGACAGAAAGGCTTAAACCATACTGTGAAACATTCCAGACAAAGCAATAACATCTCCATGGTTGAAAAGCAGTTGATGGACCTTCCTCTAGAAAAGTTACACAATGCACCTTTAAACACAGTCATTTTATTCTGATGATCTTTTTTATACTTTTAACACATCACGTAAATCCACTCACCACTTGCAGTAGAGCCAGATAGCCTGCGCCCACATTGTCAAAGTTGATCTTAACGTTCTTCCACCGAGCGCTCTCATTGACCTTGCTTAGGCACTCAGACATATTGTTGACCACACTTATGGAGAGGATCTCGTCTGTGGTGGTGTTCACACAGTGAAAGTACTTCCCCGCAAACAGGTTGACCCCCATGATGCTGAAAATGAGCCAAAAGATGAGGCAAACCAGCAGCACGTTCATGATGGAGGGGATGGCTCCGAGCAAAGCGTTCACCACAACCTGAAGACCAACAAGAATAAATCAGTGCTCTATACATCAGCTAATGGTTCCTGCGTTTACCAAAATAGCAACTTGGGTCAGTGACCAATGCAATCATCTAATCACTCAACTTAACTTGAAACAACGAAATTGCCCTGTTGATTTGATAGACCAGCTATATTACACATTCCTAAATTCACTTAGAGGAGTGCTTTCAAATTTAATAGGGCTTAAAATTACAAATATAACTTTACAGAAGTCTAAAGAGGACAGTTAGAAAGACCAAAGTGGATAGGCGTGGAAGTTAAGAGTATTAATGTGAAAAGCAAAAACAGAAAATAAAACCTTATAGAGGCGAGATGGAGGCACAACATTTGTTTGACTGTAAATGAAAAAAGAGACAGACAAGAACAGAAAAATACCGGTCAAAGCCACGGCACAGGCAACAGCAGAAAGCAATGTCAGAAAGAGCCATTTATAAGAATACAAGAATCCAATGAGGCAATGTGAAGCATCATGCAGATAGAAGACAGAAGTGCTGAAGAACGAGAGGAAAGAAAGTCTGTGGAAGCAAAGATGGACATGCATTAATCATCATCAAGAAGAACATTTAAAAAACAGTGCGTCAGTTAAGAAGGAAGTAACTGTATTACTGAGTATTAAGATATTACTGGGTTTCAGAAGACATCACCACATTCTATAGGGCTAGAGTGGCATGTAAAATATTAAAATTGTATTATATATACTATATATATATATATATATATATATATATAAATATATATATATATATATATACTAAAAACTTGTTCTTGCTTATTGTTTGTAAAGCATCTTTGAGTGTCCAAAAAGTGCTATATAAGTCAGATGTATAATTATTATTTTAGTTCTTGACTCCCATTTGAGATCACAGTCTAGTATCTGAAAACCATGTTCTATGTTAAATGATTAAGCTAAACTGGCATTTGTGCCCAGTCTCGTTGGCCTTACCCTCATGCCCTCAAATCGAGACAGAGCCCTCAGTGGCCTCAGTGCTCTCAGTGTCCTCAGAGACTTGATCGCGCTCAGCTCAGAGTAGCCCAAAGCATTGGCCACCAGGCTGACCAGGGACACCTGAGTGGAAAATCAGGTGAAATGTCAAAACAAAAATGTATTACAACAGTTACAACTATTATCTCAGAGTAGGGCAGGACAAAATTTTAATTTTGATCTGGAGTTGTGTTTTGTTTAATTCACATATGTTTGCGTAACCCTTTAATATTAGTCAGGTCAAAATGCTCTGTTCCACCTTGTGATGTCATGTAGTGGTAGTTAACAACTACCTTTCACCTTTACTTCAATAAATATTGGCAATTCCAGGGATGAAATTATCTAAGATTCTTGTGGAGGTTTATGAAGTTTAAAATTGATTATTACCACATGACATCACAAGGTTTGTTTTCAGTTTGAGAAAAGAACTCATCCTAAATAAATTAATAAAACATAACTCCAGGTATGTTTGTGATGAGGAAACAACATTTAAAAACAGAATAATATGGGCTCTTTAACTAACAAAGAAATGTGAAGTTAAAATGATTGAATTTACACCTTGAAATCAATATGAACTACGTGCATAGTGTATCAATAGTGTACTCTTAAGAAAGTCCTGGCGTGATTTTTGTTGGCAGATTTGGAGCCCTTTGGCATTGAAAAATTACTATCTTCATTCAAACTTACATCTACAATGAGGAAGTCGAGCCAACACCAGGCATTAGTGAAGTACTTGACAAAGCCATATGCCACCCATTTCAACAGCATTTCCAAGATGAAGATGTAGGTGAACACTTTGTCTGCGTACTCCAGCACAGTTTTAATGTTCTTCCTCTGCTCAATGTAAATGTCCTCAAAGGCCTGTGCAGACATAACACTTACACTGTAAAATAATGCTAATATCAACTATACACAGTAAGGACACATGTGTAAGGGCACCTGTTAAATGTGCTCTAAGAGAAATACTCACCAAAGCACCACTACTGAGGAGGATCATGAATATAATGAAGGATTCAAACCAGTTATGCTCCACAATGATGAAGCAGGTTTTCCTTAGTGTCCACCAACTCTTGAAATTGCCCCCCTCTTCGTTGATCTGGCAACACTGGAACCTGCGTACACAGCCTGCAACAAAGCGACACAGGAACTTATATATTTCAAGTTGAACATAACAGTGTGGTCAACACATTTTAATATCCTTAAAAGTTTATCAGAGTCAAGTTCAGATATGAGGAAGCAAGAATCTCTTTCATAGTTCACAACACAACGATGCAATACAGTGTCTAGTTTCTTGTGTTATGTAATTGTGTTCTATAAAAATCTTATCAAGAGATCAGATGTTCAAGTAATGTAATTTCCTCTCACCCTCAGTGAAGCACGCCTCTGGGTCGAGGGACTCTTCGGGCTCAAGCTCAATTGAATCCACTCCGTCGCCTCCTGGAGGGCGGATGTCCACAGTGCTCCCCTCAGAGGAGCTCAGGTGCTGGGGCTCCACATCGAGCTTCTGCATGAGCGAAGGAGAGAAATCATGCAGAGAGTCACATATAAAGCCTGAGAGCATGGAGGGTCATAGGAGCCAACCTTCTGAGCTGGTACCATTGTGATCTCCACTCATTTATTCTATACACCAGTGCCATGGTTACCCTATAGACTGGGCACTGTTGTAGCTCACAGAGTTGGGCTCTTTAAATCATCATCATCACATGCAGCATCGATCAAATGTACCTACAGGCGTATGTTTAGGCTTTATCAGCGGCTAAGTTCAGATCATGGGAGTTTGGTGCTCTGTAGGTACGTTTGATGTGGCCTCTGTCTGAGGTAGAGTGCATGCAATATTCCAGTGCATTATCAATCCAAGCCTGAAATAGTTCAAGCAGAGCATGTGCTCACGTATTTTCATGTCCACTGACAAATGACCCTTCAAAAGTTTCACACTTATTACATTCCCCAAATTATCCTACTAAAAAAAGCCCCTCTTTCAAAAGTACCAGCTATATCTGGCCCATTTTACTCAGTGACATGAAAACACACACTTTTTCATTCCTTTAAAGCAGTGTACAAGCCCCTTCTGTTTGAGTTGAAGTAGACGGAGAACCACATTAGCTTACCAGCAAACACCAGTACTGTGCACTGTTTATAAGACAGCATGTGGTCTGATCCCATGTGTAAAAGGACTTATGTTTGGCCCATGCAATAAACATATAGGGCTTTTTCATATACTACATATGCTGTCCACGTGGAGGTACACAAAACTGTACTCAGCTGTTCAGCTGTTCATTTGACTCCCTGTTGAGATTAAAATGAATTTGAACCCTGACAACTACATGCAGTAAATGTGAATCCACTGCATAGGGGGATTTGGATGTTGTGGGTCTTTCTGTCTGTTTTTGTTGGGCAGATAAGGAAAGCTGTACAAAAGGAAACATGTCATCCTAGACAGTGCAGCAGCCCTGATTGCCGTGGGACCCAGCTAATACGGCATGGGAATGATGGAAGCATGCTGCTCAAGTGCATTGTTTTCTTAAAGGGAGTTTTCCCTTCCTTTGGCTTGGCCTCCATCACCAAAACACCCCCATATAGAGTACTGAGTAGATCATTATCATTATCATCATCAAATATAATTTAACCGATTTGGTTGGAACCAAAATACTAATATTTGCAGTGGAGCAAAAGTTAACAACACAGGCAAGAAACAATGTTTTACATTGTATATTGCTTTTATACCAGACTTATTCTGGTAGAAATTGACACATGCATAAGGTGTATAAATGTGTTAATGAAAACAAAATAAATCTGGTTCTAGGCACGTGGCATCGGCTGTATAGTATAGCTGTATCTTTTGTGGAAAAATTCTATTGCTTTTCAAAGAACATCTGTAAAATCCAAATTTAGATAATGCCATGTGTTATCTATTTTGCCGATCTGCAACTATTATAAGTCTCACTGAATAAACAATTAATAATTCTGCAAAAGAAATCTTTCATCATTCCAATACTGGTTTTCACAGAAAACATGTACGAGTGTTTCATGTATGTGTATGCATAGGCTATGATCCAAACAAATGAATTTTGGCAACAACTAAAGCAAAATTCATTCCTCAAATCTTTCCTCGCGCTCCTCCTCCTCCACCTGTCTTCCTTCATTCTCAAGCTCAGTGTTTCGGATGCCAATCAAGTCCCATAAAACAAGCAATGGTGTTGAAAGCAAAGAACATGTTCGATGAGGTAGTCTAGTGATGGACAATGTGGTGGTGTAGCTCATTCCTAATGGCTGGTAACTGCAATACAGCCTGATGCTCAGAGATAAATTATGAGAGGGGAGGGGGAAGGGAGAACTCAAGATTACAGCATTGTGTGTGCTGCTGTCTTAGGGAGAGGGGAGAAAGCAAAGAGGTTGGGCGGGGCGAGAGGGGCGGAGGGCAGACCAGGCAAAAACGAAAATGGGCAATCCATTGAAATTATGAGAAAAATATGTTGTTTATCTGTAAATGGCATGGGCAGTCCTCATACAATAAAGTGGTCTTACAATTCTCCTGTCACTGAAAACCGTGAGAGCGTCTGTAACACAGCTGCAATAACAAACGGGGTTACACAAAGTAAGTCACACACCAAAAGCCAGCAGTCTCCTCTCAATCATCAGCCACAAGGCACAATAGGAAGAAATGTTAGTCACAAACACATTGTCATTGCAGTAGATAGAACAATATATAAATACTTCAGCTGCTATCAAGTAGAAAAGTCAAACGCCTCAATAGAGGGTGTGAAGATTACTACGAGTGCTCTTATCTATTGTAAAGAGGCATACGGCGCCAGGGCTGTAAATAGTCCTATGGGTTGTTTTGAAACGAGGGAATTGGCACCACACCCAGAGTGGCAGGTTGACATCACCAGGGATCACAGTCCCTGTGCTCTGTCAGCCTGGCAACACTTAGCAAACAGCTAGTCATAAAGCTATTTTATACACTATTTATGTTCAATCTGCTGCCTCTGTTTATATTGAGAACCTCTCAGTAGCTGTGTGCGCTATGACTCAGCAGATTCAGTCTGCCTCAGTCAAAATGGTAAATTACTTATTCACAGTCTAATACTAACCGACCATATCTTACCTCTTTGCTGCCCTCTATATCTGATGAGTCACTGCTGAAATCTTCTGTATTGAGGTTCTCAAAGTCCGACTCGCCCACAGCTATAGGCACAGTGACAGTGAGCGTGGGGTTATGAATGAAGGACATGTAGTCACACTCCTCTATGGGGTATTTCCCTGTGTCCCCACCAACAGCCACCACCAGGCCTCCAGGCCTCCCATTGCCCTCTGTCATGTACACCCCACTGGGGTCTTTGGTGATCTCCACTGACGTGTGGTTGGAGATGCAGTTGCCTTTTCCATTGCTGTGCAGTTCATCCAGAGGTTTGCTCTCCTCTGCCAGTGCAGAACCTTTCCCACCTCCACCAAAGAAAAGGCTCCGGAAAAAACTGCGAACTAAAGATTTGACAAAGGCAAAGCCTCTCTGGATCCGACCCACTGCGATCTGCAGGTTGTTCATTTCACTGTCGTCGTCTGTTGCCGCCAAGTTGTCAGCACTGAACGAGCTCAGAAGTAAAGCCAGGAACAAGTTCAGAACCTTCAGAACAAGAAAAATAATTCAAGTGATCAGCATTAGGACACTTGCATCTAAGGAATATTTAGACATGGTTATATTAATGCTGTCGACATAAGTGTTTCATTATCATTGTGGTATCAAAATCAGAATTGAAATCAAGCTGACACTGTATCACTCCTAAACATACAATACTATAGGAATAGTCCATACCACTAGGTTTCCAATGACCATGACCATCATAAAGACTATGAGGCACATGGACTGCCCTGCCACTTCCATGCAGTCCCACATGGTCTCGATCCACTCTCCACACAGCACCCGGAACACGATGAGGAACGAGTGGAAGAAGTCGTGCATGTGCCACCGTGGCAGCTCACAGTCCTCTGAGATCTTGCACACACATTCCTTGTAGCTCTTCCCAAAAAGCTGCATCCCCACCACAGCAAAAATGAAGACGATAATGGCAAGGACCAAGGTCAGGTTTCCTAGAGCACCCACTGAGTTACCGATGATCTTAATGAGCATGTTTAGGGTGGGCCATGACTTAGCCAGTTTGAAGACTCTTAGCTGGAACAAACAAGGAAAATTAGTTGGAAATGAATGTGCATATATGGTGACATTTTATAAAAGAAATGCAATAATCTTCTACTGTATGCTCAAAGTTTATAATTTTGTGCATTATTTGTAAGCTACTACTATAGTCTCAGCTGCCCAGAAATGGATTGGACATTGTCTTACCCATAGCACAGTGTGTGTGTATGTGTGTGTGTGTGTGTGTGTGTGTGTATATATATATATTATAAATGTAATAAATACTTTTAAATTCAATGTTTCATTATTAAAAATCAAAAGAGTCTTACCAATCGAAATGACCTGAGAACAGACAGGCCTTCCACATTTGCCAAACCGAGCTCCATCAAGCTCAAGCTAACAATAATGCCGTCAAAGATGTTCCAACCCTCCTGGAAGTAATAATAGGGGTCCAACGCAATGATCTTAAAACACATTTCTGCTGTAAAAATACCTGTGAACACCTGGAAAAAGAAGAGAAAAATAATTCATGAATTCTGACATATTATAAACAATTATTTCTAAATCTGTTATAATACTTGCCAGGTTTCCAACACTAAGGACGTTATCAAACTCTTTAGTCATCGGGTAGTGCTCCATTGCCATGAAGAGGGTGTTGAGGACGATGCAAATAGTGATGGCCAAATCTACAAATGGGTCCATAACCACCATGCTGACGATTTCTTTGATTTTAAGCCAGGCTGGATTACAGTCCCAGATCAAACAAGTGTTGGCAAATCTGTACCAGCAGGGAGGACACTTCTGTCTGGATTCCTCAAGTTCTGAAACAAAAAATGTTATCATTTATCATTCCTACTAACTGTTAGACATAGTTAGATGTTCTTACATCCTCAAAAACATGCCTGGAGTTGTATTTTGCTACATTTACAGTACTGTTTTTGGAATAATGTCAGAATATGCCTGTAACCAAAATAAACAAATCAATCAGTCAGTCAAGTTAACGGCTATCTTTTACCTTTTGTTCAGTACAGATTGGCAATTCCACGGCTGAAAAAATGAAAATGATTCTAGTGAAGATGTATACAGTTTTAAAACACAGTGGGGCATTTCCTATATTACCACATGACATCACAAGCTGGCACAGACTGTCTTCTGTTTGAGAGAAGTCGTCAGTTTGGGTTTGGGTGTTTAACATGTGTGAATGAAACAAAACACAACTCCAGGTATGTTTTTGATGAGGAAACAACATTATAACATACATCCTTAGCCTTAAGTCTTAAGTCTTAAATCAGCCTTAAGTAATTCTTATTTCAGACCTTCCATGGTGTTGGTCAGGATACTAGCCACACTCATAGCTCGTGGTCTGCCCCCTGGTTCATCTAAATAATCCATGGACGGTTGATGGAAGGAACGCCTCTTCTTCAGGTCTGTGTCAGTGGTTGTGCCCTGAAATTAAAGCACATTTAAATTAAGTAACTTTTGTCATAATGTTCTTTCTCAAACAAGTAATTGGTTTAAGATTCATAAGCAGTTTAGCCCAAATTAAAGTAAAATTATGTTATATTATGTTAAATATGCATTAGTTGTCAAATAAAAAATATAAACTGTTAAAGGTGCATTGTGTAACTTTTATGGTAGAGGATCTGTCAGATGCTTTTCTGCGTAGATGTTATTGCTTTGTCTGGAATGTTTCACAGTATGGCATTAAACTTTTCTATCTTCATGGAGACCAAACCAGACTAAGTTACAAGTCAGATCTGTGGAGAGGCAACCGCGTTCACAGTCAAAATGCTAGTTTTTCTAGGTATTTTTGAGCTATAAAACCACCTGCAATTTGATAAATGTAAGGTAGAGCTGTTTAATGTCATACTGTGGAACATTCCAGGCAGAGCAATGAAACATAGAAACAAGCAGGTGACGGACCCCTAACCAAAAAAGTGAGACAGTACATCTTTAAACAGAGCTGTGAGTGAAACAATAAAAAGAGAAATGGGAAAATAAAGCATGAAAGCGACAAGTCACCTCAGGCAGCAGGAGACCTACAGGAGAGGTAGTGACAGAAGTCCCCCCGACCAGAGACACAACTCCATTGCAGTCTACAGCACAGTGCATTTTGCCGTTGGCGGGCAGCATGACCCGGGGCGCCCCCAGGCTCGTCTGACTGATGGCACTGCAACGACGCTCCAACCGCCGAGGCAGGAACAGAGATCCCCGTCTGCTGTCGTTCTCCTCAAACGTGCTGTGCTCATCGTCTGCAAAGTCATTCTCCGAGCCCATGTCTCGAGCCCTGCCACGAAAGCTGAACAGGCTGGCTCTGCTGTTCCTCCGGGGGGAGAAGAGGGAGCCCCGAATACTGAGCAGAGACTGACACACACAGAGGGGGCATGTTACAAAATAACTTTAAACAAATTTTTTTTGAATTTTCTTTAAAAAAAAAAAAAAAAATTATTATAAGAATAAAAGTATGAGCACTCTACAGGTTTTCATTATTTTACTTCACATGTCCATAATATAATTTTCTTTCTCAAAATATAAAATTTTACTTGTAATGTCTTTACTTGAATTTCAATATTTAGAATGACTTTAAATTACAGATTTTGATTTAAATTTCTGAGCATAATTTTGAGAGGTGGTGTATATAGGCAAAATTAAATAAACTTGTAAATAAACTATTTATGAAATAGTTGTAAAGTTGTACCTGGTTGGGTGAAGAGCATCTTTTCTCATATGACAGTCTGTTGGCGTCTATGGAGAAGCGGAAACTGGACCTCTTGATGCTGTCCTCGGACTCAGACTTGTGGAACTTGTCTCGGACCCCCCTCTCCTCCTCCTCCTCCCTCTGCTTCCTCTTCTTGCGCCTGTTGCGTCGTTCCTTGGCGCTCTTGGAGCTGAGCTTAGATGTCCCCGAGGAGGACTCCGAGGTGGGGCCCCCTCTCCCACTGTACTCGCCGCTCTCGGTGGCTGCTGCCGCGGCAACCTGCCAACCAATAGGAGCACAAACATAGTTGTCATGGAAACGGTGCCTATCTCATAGCTTCTTGCAGACGAGAGTGGAGGAGAGCCTGGCAGCTGAGAGCAGGGCATGAGCAGCCAAACAAGCCTGAGAAACCTTCTAAAAATGGACCATGTTTTTAACTTATCAACACAATTCTCTAGATTATTTCAGTTTTGAGTAAACTTTTAATAAGTCATCCACTACTATTAATCTTTGATTAATTTAATTTGCATATACAATACTGTAAACAATTCCATCATATACCTTCAGAGCCAGAATAGGTTTTATTGCCAAACTATTATAAACTAATTTATGCCACAGACAAAATAACCCTTACGTAGAATTATTAAATGTAAAATATGTATAGCAGAATGAAACACCTATGTATGAAACATGTGTGTATTTTGTATCTATAATGAGTCATAGAAATTATTAATTCAACTATCTACAGCTCAGATTTGATTTTAGAACAAAAAAAAAATACAAAAAAGTTCCCACTAGTACTGAGAAAGTCCCCACTAAATACTGACCTCCCACAATCCATCTATCATGGATTGAATGATAACACAGTAACAGGCCTAATTATTAACTAACTAAATACAAACTTGATTTGACAGTATGGGACAGTGCAACAAATAATTCAGATAATAATACCAGTATACATTTCTTACAAGTCTTTCCATTGTATTGGGAGCTACATTTGGAGAAGTAAACAAAACAGTAGGCGTAGCATCTACAGTATTATCTTGTGCATCTTGGCAACTACCGCCAAATCAGCATTACCAATCTAAATGTGCAGCAGCCTGATAAACCACGGTTGTGTGGGAAGAATAACAGCTCCAGCAGGGGAAGCGAAGGGAGATTGGAAGAACACACAGATCAGGGCCATAATGAGAAAACAATAAATCCTGACCTTTCTCAAATGAGTTTGAAATGGTAGGAATCGGTCACTGGATTTTAAATGTAGACAATGACAAATAACTAAGCTTATTTAATTATCATGTAAAGGTTAAGTTAATCGCTACTCATCAAAATCTTTCTTACAAACCATTAGGCCTGTCATGATATCAAATTTTGAAGTGTGATATATTGTTGAATAAAATACAGACAATGAACAATAATAATAAAACTACTTTATGCTACAGACAAAATAACCCTAAAGCAGGATTATCCCCCCAAAACAATTCTAAATATCCTTAGAAAACATGCAATAAATAAACAGGAGAATGAAACAATTTAGTAGTTTAGCATTTAGTTTTGTCTATAACGGGACAACAGCTCAAATCATATCATAGTACTGAAAAATAATACTAAGAAAAAGTTCCCATTGTGCATTGTGTAATTTTTTCTGGTTGAGGATATGCAACGTTTTTGTTTTTTGTTTTTTTTTCTTTAGGGAGATGTTATTGCTTTGCTTGGTATGTTCCACAGTATGGCATTAAAAGTCTATTCTGCCTTTGTTTCATTAGAGGTGATTTTATTATTCAGAAATACCTTTAAGAGCATGCATGTTTGTGTGAATGGGCCCACCTCTCCACTGAACTGATCTGTATGTACCTTAGCCTTACCTTACCTTGCTTCCATGGAGATAGGTAAGTTTAATGCCTTACTGTGAAACATTCTAGGCTGAAGAGTTAAGTACATCAACATAGCATGCAGTGTACTCTCCCTAAGAAAAGTTGCGCAGGGAATCTTTAAACATCATGAGTGTGAAGTGATTTAAAATAACACAACAAAACCATCTGTTGGTTCAACTGGAGGTTACACTTGTTTATATAAAGGATTAAACCCTTTTATTAGTCCATTTCTCAGGTTATAAAGCAATAAACCTGGCATAGGAGGTGTCTGCATTTTCAGTTGCTAACACTGGTGGCAAGAATCACACCTAACGGAAATAACTGGCACTGAACTCAGACAGTAAATGCCTAGTGTATGTTTAGATTATCACAGTTGAAAATCTGTTTATCCTTTGCTTCGTTTTGTATCCAAGGCAGATGCTAATTTTCTTCCTGGAAGGTCACATGAGGACTTCTAGCCCCCAAGGGAAGACTGAGAGGTGTCAGTCGCCCGGACAGTAAATCCTGTTGCCATGGGTTACACAGACTTTTGGCAGTGGCTTTGTGATGGAGAATCAACAGTCTTTATATTTGTCTAAAAAGAGCCAATTCTTCCTTCCTCTTTTCACAACTAAATGCTTCATTATTATAAGCTGTTTATTAGACATCCACCATGTGTTTTGTGTTTAGCCTTTAGCGTTTAGTAACTGTATATTTGTAGGCGGCTTACAGAGAGCTTGTAAGAGTAAACTATTCATGGGTTTCAGCCTTCTGTTTTTTAGGTGCCATTTTGAGCACTTTTCACAATTCAAAAGATGCAGGTTTGTGACAATATCAAATTTTGAAGTGCAATACATTGCTGAAGAAAATATAGATGATGAATGATAATATTAAAAGTAGGTTATGCTACAGACAAATCAATCTATAACAGGATTATCCCCTAATAACTATTCTAAATGTACAATACCCTTAAAAAACATGAGATGCAATAAATCAACTACAGGATTTGAATCTATAATAAGATATATAAGTTACTTATTCAACCCTCAACATCTGGCATCATATCATAGTACTAAAAATAATTTAAAGTTCTCCACTAGTACAAAGAAGAAGTACTCATGATAAATACTGACCCCCAAAAATAACTGTTCCACCTAATGTGCACTGAAAGATAAACCAATTTAGTATTTATCGTGACAGGCCTAAAAAGTTTTAATCTTTTGGTTTGAATTGATAATTACCTTGGCAATGGTGAAAATAGTTTAAGGTCATTATAAGGTCATTTTAAGATTTTGGGATTATTCATTTTAGTATATAGGTTTTCACATTTCACAACAGCAAAAATCCACACATTAGCAATTTTAAGTCTCAACTACACACCATGTCTAATAAACATTACATCATAAGACAGTCAAGAAATAAATGTAATGTTTTTAAGCCTCATCAGAACACACTTAATATGGTGTAATATGGCACTGATTCTATAAATAACACATATATTGTTTTGTAAGTTTTTTGCAAATGTTACCAAAAGCTGTGATCACATAACTATTGATTGTTAATGCCTGGATAACAAAATCAATCTAATAAAAAAAATGGATGGAAAAACTGTCCTTGCCTGTGCCTCTTCTTGTTGTCTCTTGAGCTGCTCTAACATGGCTTGAAACTCCTCCTCTTTTTGCTGGGCCTCTTCTATAGTGGCTTGGTTTTGCTCATCGTACGCCATCGCCACCACAGCCAGGATCAAGTTCACCAGATAGAACGAACCCAAGAAGATCACCAGTACAAAGAAGACCATGTAAGGCTTCCCCGCCGCACGCAGAGTCTTATAAAGAAAGGAAAATATAAGTTAGAAATGTTTAATTATTCATTTATTTCATGGGAGATTAGGTATGTAAATAATGTTTTCTTTTCATTGTCTGTTGATATTGTTATGGTCAAGTGCCTCTATAAAAAACGTACAAAGCCTACTTGCGTAACAGGTCCAGCGATGACTACACAATGATGAACTACTTTGAAAAGCCCTCTTATCTATTAGTGAATGTTTGCGCGGGTATTGTTCGAATATTGGTTTGGTGTTGTCATAGGTGTATTTGATTTAGAAATGTGTTGACGGAAGGTTTAAGTAGTATATTAGAAATGATTTATGGACGGAAATCATATAACGTACTTGTTGGTAGAGGTTCTCCCAGTAATCTTGTGTCATGAGTCGAAACAGGGAGAGGAATGCCCAGCTGAAGGTATCAAAACTGGTGTAGCCATAGTCCGGATTGCGACCTGCTTTGATGCAAGAAAAGCCCTCTGGACAAAGCCTAAAAAACACAAATAATAACAGTGAAATATTAAAGATGCATTGTGTAACTTTTCTTCTCCATGGAGATGTTATCGTTTTGTCTGGACTATTTCACAGTAAGGTATTAAACCTTTCTATCTTCATGGAGACCAAACAAGACCAACTTACAGGTCAGATCTGTGGAGAGACAACCCTGCTCACAGTCAGAAAGCCTGTTTTTCTAAGTATTTTTGAGCTATAAAACTATCTGTAATTTAATAAATGTAAGGTAGAACTGTTTAAAGTCATACTGTGGAACATTTCAGGCCGAGCAATGATATAGCTATAGAAACAAACAGGTGACGGAACCCCAACCAAAAAGTTACTCAGTGCTCCTTTATTATAAGTATATATGTTAAAGTCTATACTGTTAGAAAATTTGAGTTGAAGTTTATTATTTAGGTAACCATTACATAAACTGCCTTAGTTAAGCAGCAGATTCCACTTGTGAACGTGTAGGCTTGAGCGCCTCCTCTAAATAGTCTGTACTGATCACTTTTAATTGGCCATTTAAATAAAACATGTCACATCTTACCCAGCGCCGCTGCCATTCCCACAGAGCAGAGCGTCCCTTCGACCAGGGAGGTAATAATAATTATCTAAAGAAGTGGATACAGAAACATGACCAATTAGTAACTGACAAGTATATTACATTTACATTACAACTATTCAAGACCACTGAAAACCAAATAGGAACACTTACACAAACAAAAATACCTGGTATCATCTATTTGTCAATGATTTAAAAAAACAACTATGTAAATTACTTTTTTCAGTCACTGCAAGATTGACAAATAAAGAATAAACTAAACTAACAAAAAATTACATCATTGTTTTTGTTCATGTTTCACAAAACAAAACAACAATTAGAAGAAAAACTAAAATTAAGTGATCAGGGCATATTACTTTTTGCTTGCTTACACCGGTTTTAACATCCCAAATGTCCAAATGAGATTTAAAATTAAAAGGTCAGACTGTGTTAAATCATTTGAGTTCATCCCCTGCGTCTTGTTCTGGCATAGCTTTGTCACAGAGCAGTCTTCTTGATATCCTGCTGGCGTCAGTGAGTCACCCTGCTCTCGCACTCAGGGCTGCTCATGCCACACAGATGGGCCACTAGACACTGATGGAGAGTACGAGGGGGAGAGAGACCAGGCTTTATTGTTGTTGCCGATTATCCGGCACATTTGCTACATTTTGCCCCCGGCTTCATGGCTCCGGAGTCACTGCTGTCACTGTAGATCATGGTGGTTTGACCCTCAACCACCAATACCCCGATCTCAACACAAGAAACTACCAACAAGTGTATGACTCAGGCTGTCTGGGGCATAACTGACCCCGATTAAGTCCTGGCAGGTAGTTCCTCATTATATACGGTATTGCTATTTGGTATTACTAAACCACAACATCTTTAATACAAGAAACCAGAAAGTGTTTTTGTATCCTGTAACCAGTAGTTGACAGAGGACTGGAATTTTCTACTCATGGCTTAATATGCACTCAAGCAAACAAATCTACTCAAAAAATTCCAATTATTCAAATGATCTACTCTAGTAATTACAGTAATGTGAGTATTTGTATCTAGAACATTCCACCCCCGCCTGTAACTAATATATGTTTATGTTAAGTAAACTTGGCCATAATTTATATCCTTGTAAAACGACTGCATTGTTCATATAATTACAGAGATCTATTTCCATGCAGCCCTCCTGATGTGTCATTGAACTGGTGTCTTACCTTGGTCGTTGATGTACTCGGTCCAGTTGAACGGCGGCTCTGTCACATTCATGGCAAAGGTGGTGTTGAGCTCCAGGAGGCTGCTGTTGGAAACCATCATATCCATGTCCATGGTGATGTTGGTGCTGTTGGTCATGTTGCTGTGCATTGGGATGCGCACACACTTCTGCCGCAGGTTTCCCATGAAGAGCTGGAGCCCGATGAGAGCAAAGACGCTTAGGCAGAACACCGTCAGGATCATCACGTCTGAGAGTTTCTTTACTGACTGAATCAGGGCTCCCACAATGGTCTTTAGGCCTATGTGAAGAACAGGGCCAGGAAGGAGGGAGTGGGACATCACAGAATGATTACTGCCTGATAATTATAGCCACAAGAGAAATAGCTGCTAATAGGAGCTTATGTTGCAAGCAGTGGATCTGCTGTGGAGACTCCACAGTATAGTGGAACCTGAATATCACAGATCACTGCTTATCAAGCATAAACCACCAGAGATAGATGTAAATGACCACGGATGGTCAATGGTATTGTCTCTAGTGAAATATGATGTGTGTAAGAGGTTGTTTTTATGCTATTGCAAAATGTCCCCTGGCAAGTGACGCCTATGCCATATTTAAAGATAACAACTTACTGTAATATTAGCCTGATACAAACATCATTCACTGTGCTAATGAAAAGAAAGAGATATGACACAATACATAAAAACATATCATATATTAAAAATTTATTATACAATAACATAATACAGGTAAGTTATTGGCAGTTCAATATCTAATATAACTATACTTCACTGATCTAAGCAACAGCGTAACTCTAATCTCCGTTTATACTGCTGTTCTGTTTGCAATAGCCCAAAAACAAATATAATGCTATCATCACTTTGGAGGCAATTTAAGCGTGCATTTAGATGTATTGACTTGATGGCCATAAATATTTATGTGGCCATAAATATTTGTGTGCAGTTTATGTAAACACAGAGCCAATCATCGTTCATCAATGCTAGGATTGTACTGTTAGCTTTGTTAGAAATAGTGTTAGAGATTAAAATGTTATTTCCCAACCACCAGACAAAAGACTGTCCAAAACACAGAACATTAAACATTGAACAAGAGCATGCAGAGGAAACAAGGAGAGGAGGAACCCTGGACACAAGTGCTTGCCACCAGAAAATCTGCTTTTGCAATGTCTCATGCAAAAAGGAAAAACAAATAGTGCACATTCTACTTTAAGACTCCCAAGGCAAGAATAGATTTCAACTAAAAAGAATTCTGCCTTAAAGGATGTTTGAAAAAGCTAAGAATCCTGTCAATCTGATGCAGATTGGAGCCAGATTCCAGCTTTTATTGGCCTTGGGACAAAGGCAGCATGAGGGACAGCCACGGGCGTCATCAAGGCTTTAGCTACAGTGAGATGAGACGGTAGAGGAGGTGTGCTCAGATGTTAGCGAACGCCGGTTAGCTGTTAGCATTTCATTAACTCTATGGGCCTGGATGGCTCTCTCACCTGGGATCACTGATATAGTTTTCAGGGCTCGCAAAACCCTGAAGGTTCGCAGTGCTGAGACATTGCCCAGGTCCACAAACTCTGTGACATATCTGTAAGGGAACGCAGGGATGGAAAAGGGGGAGGAGGGGTGCAGGAGGTGGGGAGGGAGGGGGAAATTTCGGTAGGAGGGATGGGATACACACACCCAGGCATAATCACACACACGCACACACACGCACATGGCGGGACAAGACAAAAGGAGGGTCACGGGAGGGGGGGCAGAGGGGGGGATGGCAAACAGTCACACACAGAGGACAAATGGCCGGAGTGCTGGCAGCAGGCGCCGGCAGCCTTACCTGGTATAACTGAGATAGTTTTCAAAGCTCGCAATACTCTGAATGTTCGCAGAGCTGAAACATTGCCTAGGTTTACAAACTCTGTTATATACCTGCAGATCAAATGCACAGTTACTACACAGAGGCACACACCTGGCTTAGCACTACACATCCGTCTAAAGTCAATACAGGCGGCTCTTAATTGCTCTAATGATCTGCATGGACTGCAAAACCCTATAACAGAGCAAAACACAAACTATGCACTGCGTTGCCTATGCTAAAGGCTGTATATCAGACAGACAAGAAGCTCACTGGACCTTAATAATAAATGTGGGCCAGGATATTCCATACTTTGAGGGCCACATCTGTTACAATAGCCTAGACTTAAGACAGCTATCCATGCTGTGAAAAGAGCGTATCAGTAATCCCACAAAATCTCCAGATTAACACCCCTGTTTTCAGTCCGTCTGGTTTTAAAACTCACGTTTAGCAGGATTACATAGGCTGCTGCGGTTTATTAGCATTAAAAGCATTTGGATTCTTAATATTTGCCAGATCATGTTGGGATGATCCTAATGATGGTTGTCACGATACTTACGCCATGAGAATAACACTGAAATCCAGCCAGTTCCATGGGTCCTTGAGGAAAGTGAAATTGCCAACACAGAAGCCTCTGGCCAGGATCTTTATAAGGGACTCGAAGGTGTAAATCCCTGTGAATGTGTACCTAAAGCATGGGGCAGGAGTCATACAGGTTAGACTAGTTAAAGTAAAATTATTGTGAAAGATGAGTATAGGACACTTACTCTACATTCTTGGCCCATTCTGGAGGATTACTGAGTGTCATGAAAGCACAGTTGGTCAGGATGGTAAACATGATCAACATGCTGAAGCTAGTGGATATAAAGTTAAGGAAACGGCCATTCAACAGGCATCCAAGAATAACAGTCAAGTTACATTTCAAATCTGTTAAAAGGTGTCTACAGCAAACCATCTAAACCCACCATGACATGTGGAGTTGAACTTTAGCATGTTCTAATCCCACCTTTGTGTAATAAAGTCTTTAATCCAAAGAAAGATGGAGACGAGCAAACATTGAAAGGATATGAGTGCACTAAAACTCTAATAGCTAGCCTTCTGACAGGGTTGAAGGGGTTTAGGATGTACAAGGCAGACGTGGCATTGAAACGGAAGATTGCCTTTCCATGATTCAATACTATGAAGGTCTGGAAAAAACAAATAGATACAGAATGTTAATAAATGCTGTACCTGCCTACGTGAGTGGCCCACCTGAATAATGCAGCTGGTATTATAATAGAGCTGGAGGCACATGGCAGCTGCACACTGGCAGATGAGCACTTAGCACCTCTGTTGGTGTGTGCTATGTTCACCTGTTTTTGACTCAACAGGGCTTTAACCTGGGGCTGCTATGTTAACATGCTTTCTGTGTCTGGAACCATTACATTTACACTGCCAGCTACTACTACACGCATGCAAAGCTGATAAAGCTGTGTATATTTCACAGCACCGTTCAAATGGTAAGGACTAGCAGTCTAGTTTGATCAAATCATTGCTAACAGTAGAGGTGTCAGACCTTTTCATTGCTGTAGTAAGTGTCCAGATCCTCCAGTGGAGTGGACACCAGATGAGGAGGCACATCTCCGTAGATGAAGGGCAGTTTCTTGCCAGCCTCCAGGTCACTGTTGGGCTTAGGCCCGTCTTCATCATCGTTGTCACTGCGGCGCTCCGCCCGCGGTCTCCGAGCCTCCTCCTCGGTGATGCGCCTTTCGATGGCGGCCAACGACTCGGGGACGAAGGGGTGGAAGCTGTCAGGTCCGGGCGGTACAAGCAGCTGTGCCATCTTGTCATCGTGCTCCTTCACAGGGCAGCGAGAGGCTCAGCTGGGGCAGGCTGCTGCAGTGAGGAAACAGGTCAGGGTGAGGGCCAGTACTTTACATAGGACTGTCTATAAATATGAGTCTCAAAACGCTCCAGGCCAATACGCCATCATGACCATCATGAGAACATAAAGGTGAGGGCACACATAAAGGAGAAGGTAATATGACCCACATAACACACTGGCATTAACAAGGTCTACTCAGACAATATGGACAGTTCAACCTTTTACAGAGCCCACCGAAGCTAACAGCGGCACATTCCACATGCAAATGCTGTGGTGACTAATACCAATTTGAGACACAATGGACTGATGCTTCTAACTGGACTCTGGAGCCTGTTTTATAACTGAAAAAAAGATGACGAATCTTACATTAATATGCTTAAGACATACGGTGTAGACTATAGACAGCTTCTAGTTACAACACATCTGAAGTTGTCTTGAGACATAAGACCCAAGTTTAAATTTGAAATCAACTGCTAATACTACGCTTCCCCCACATTTTTCAAGTAATCCTAACTATACTATTCTTTTGTCAGCTTCTCCCATTTTTCCAATCAGAAACCAGTTGACCTGAAAATGTAACCTTTATTTAACCAGGAGAGTTCCGATGAGATTCAGAATCTCTTTTACAGAGATAACCCAGCCCCAGAGGGACCATATAAAACATGTTTTAATGCTATGAGAAACATGAGTAAACAGAGAAAACCTACAAAGACACAGGGAAAACATGCAAACTCCACACTGTAAACCCTAGAGTTTAAGACCTTCTCATGGTCCTAATAATGTCGATGCTTAACCCATTACTCTAACCCTTCAATCATTAGAAAAGTAAATAACATAACTTTAACCATCACTAATTGACAAATAAATAAAACTGTGATATCTCATGAACACAGAGACAGCAGAGTAAATGACTACTACTGTAACCCTTACACAGATGTCATCTCTTCCCAGTGGAAAACACAGATAAACAACATCTTGAAAACCCTTGTGAGCCATTAAAAGCACAGAATCAGTGCCTTCAAGTCCCTGCAATCTCCCAGGCATATTATTGTCCCTTATGAGACACTGTAGAGGTCCATCCTACTCACTACAGTGGTCAGTAATGTCTTGACCTTTTAACAGCAGTGTTGTGAACTTAAAGGTCCTCTATTACGCAAAATTCACTTTTGTGAGCTTTAAGCCATGTTATAATGTTGTTACCTCATCAAAAACATACCTGGAGTTGAGTTTTGTTTCATTCACGCATGTTTTTGAATAACCTATTATTATTGTCTGTCTACAAATCCAAAACTCAAAATGTGTCAAGTGTGTAGTTTTCAACAACAATTTTTTCCCCTTAGTTCAGTAGAGATAGAAAATTCTAGGGCTGAAACTATTTAAAAAATTCTAGTGACACTACATGACATCACAAGGTGGAACAGAGTGTTTTCTGTTTGAGAGAAGAACTCAGCCTAAATATGCAGGGTTTGTGTTTTAAACATGTGTGAATGAAACAAAACACAGCTCCAGGTATGTTTGTGATGGGGAAACAACATTATAACATACATCAAAAAATAGCGCAATATGGACCCTTTAACAAAGGACCAAATTCTAATAATTTAATCCTGGTGATCTGTGACTGGTGTTCCTCAGAATCTCATGCATATCCTGGTAATTAAATAGTGGGACCATCTTTACAGCCAGTGCACTGTGATTCAGCTGGTTGGTGCAGGTTGAAAGCAGCAGAGCACTCACCCACCTCAAATATTAGTGTTGTCATCTTTGAATAGGCTGTGAGCTCAGAACCACACACTCTCAGGAGCAGATAACAGTAACATACATGTATCCAGGCACTGACAACTCAGAGTCCACGTGTTAGAGCAGCTGACAGCGTTCACACTCCTACAGCCACCCCAGGACAAGAGCAATCTACTTTAATATTTGGACAGCACACTGACATCGAGCAGAGTGGTGACTTGTTTCAACTACAGGCCTAAACTCACTGGTTCAAGAGTTATTGAACAGAACGGAAGCTTTCGGCAATGTTTCTCTGTCCATGGTGCTGAAAGCAATACTCAACACAATATCAACATTTTAGTTTTGTAGTCCATTCACAAAACTCTAAATCTGTACTGAAAAATAGTCTGTGCGCTTATATGAGATCTGCCAAGTTATTCTGGGTATATTTTAATATTTAATTTGCCATTTTGTCAAACGGTGAACCGAGTCAAAAAGCTAATGGCAACTACAGTCGCCATGGGATGTAAACAACGCGCATTAGACGAGCTGTAACATATGAACACTGACGCACAGACACGTACTCAGTTGTACAACAATTAGGGTGCATTATTAATTTATAAATACTATCTCTGTCAATGTGAGGGCACTGACAGAAACCAGGAATAGCCTATGTAAAATGAAAAGCACAATATGGTTATTAATAGAATCTATGGTAAACAAAGAGAATGACAGCTAGTACCAATATGATAGACAGACTATACCTCGAGTGTCGCGGTTTGAGCACGAGCCAGAGGGACCGCAGCAGCTGTCGCCATGTTGAGGACGTCTCCGTGATATTTTCAGCACTTAAAAACTCCAATTATCTCGGCCAAATAGATGCTCTCATGTTGTCTTTACAGCCTCGAGATTCGCCACTGGTAAAGCACGACGCCTCCCACGGGCGAACAAACAAGACGGGCCCTCACGCACGCACACGCCGGGTAGGGAGGACGCTTCTCGATCACTCCAGACGCCAATCACCAATCACCGCTAAGGACAGCAAATCAGAGCGGATGAGACTGAAGTCCAGGGGCCGCCACAGGTCCTTAAGCGCTGGTCAAGATGTCTTTCGGCTAATAACAAGCGCGTCCGTAGCATCGTCCCTTTTCTCCCAGTCTCAACAACCTGTAGTGGCCATTGCCTTACCAAAATGGAGAATAGCGCTGAGTAAAGGGTGAGAACGCACGGCCATAAACCAGTGAATGGGGACGGAATAAGTCTGGGCGTGTCCTTGCCAGATGTGTCTGCTGCTGGTAATCGATCGTAGATGAAGGCAGCAATTGAATAACCCAAAATAGAAACAGAACTGTGGCTATGTGCCGCCTCACAACGTTGCCAATGTATGAAACACAAAATATAAAGTCGTTTCAGGTTGACGCGTAATGGACAGTGACAATGGGCCTGCTGTGGCTATGTTGTCACTATGCACGCTTAGCTTTGACACTACAGACATATAGATTTCATGGGCCACAATGTTTTAAAATATGCAGATTCTAAAATAACACAGATAACATTCTTATTGTTCACCAATTTTAGTCTTTAGTGTTGTTTAATTCTTTAAATATTAGATCTACTGCGCAATGAATAGGCTATGATGGCTCTTAAACCATAACATAGGGGCCTACCAATAATACACAAATAACTCATCAGCTTCCATGTATTAAATGTGTTTTGGCTAAAGGATGCAACCTAATCACGATGCAGGCTGAAGATGCAAATAACTGTCGTTACTCACCACCATTACGGTGCCCAGCAGGTGAGGACCCTGGAGGTAGATCCCATTTCCCGTCGAATAATCCGTTTTCAAGCGCAGAGTTTGTCACTATAAAATTCAAACGGGTGTCTCCTAAACCTAAAACTCTTTCAAGAGACGTGTCGGATTAACATTTGCTCAGTTCTTCTTTGATCTTCCAGACGCACTTGTTGGCCACGGACAAATCAATCCGCGCTTCCGGTTGGGTAGGCATCGCAGGCTCAGCTGGAAGTGAATGTCCTCGAAGCTGTCACAAGATGGCCTGCGAGCACTTCTAGAAAATATCCTGAAGTCAGTGATTTATGAGAAGGGAAGAAGGGAAGGGGACAAGGAAAGTGCGAGACGAGCCCACCTGCTGGCACTGCGAATGGCACTAGTCATTTCCGATAGGGGTCAATAAATGTCGTTGCTTTTAACAACTTTGAAGGCACCAAGCATTTCACTATTCCACGTATTATGTTATAGGGATTATTGGGGTTTAGGTTTGTTTTAATTTGCCAGTACTTATTTGATAGTTTAATAAGATATTTGAGTTTTCTTACAGTACTTACTTGAGTTTAGTAACAGGTCTACTCTAGTTTAAATGTTATGAAATCTACTTAAGTGTGAGAAACGTACCATGTTTAAATAAATTATGCTATTCTGACAAATATAAAGTTAATGAAATCTGATTGGACACTGAAATTTGATGAAGCATGTGCACAAGGATGTTCACGTGCAGGCAACATTGGAGCTGGGAGAGTCTCTGATTTTCTGTGCATTCCTGCCATCTTCTGGACATGTACTGTAATTACATAAACCCAGATCGAGAGGTCCCAGAAGAAAAAAGTTGTGCCATCTACTGGACAAGTTTAATTAATGCAACAAATTTAGAAACGGAGGATGGACTTGTACATTGTTACTTGTCAGTAACATTCATGCTCTGACCATTGGGACGCTTAATATAAATAGGCCTATAAAAAAATTAATGAACACAATAAAGACAAAGGTGTACTGTGTAACATTTCTAGTGGAGGGTCATCTGCTTGTTTCCATGGAAATTTTATGGCTTTGTCTAGAATGTTCCATAGTATAGATTAAACCTATCTATCACAAGGAAGACTACATTACAATTCAGATCTGTGAAGAGTCGCCCCTATTCACAGAGGGAATTATTGTGTTTTTGAGTAATAGAAGCACTCGTAATGAATACATGCTAGAAGTTTAAAGTCATACCATGAAACATTCCACGCAAAGCAATAACATAACCATGGAAACAAGTAGGTCTCCACCAGAAAAGTTTCACCAGTGCACCTTTAAGTAAATATATGTTATAGGCTGTGATTAAGAGCTGACAAGTTTCCATTTATATCTTTGGAAAATTTGCATAATTTAATAATATTTTCTTATGTCGCTTCTTTTCAAAAGGCCTTTGTTTAGGGACAAGCAAATGATTCTACACTACCTTGTTACCTATTGTTAATAAGGTAGTGTCAACAAGCTGCATTCTAGATAAGTATGCCTGTATTCTTGGAATAGGTTATGAGTCTGTTATTAATAATATTGACATAATTTTGACATTTTTTTCATACCATGCTGCCAGTGTATTTTGGGTGAGTTTCCAAACAGTGAGATCACAGTTTTTCCTCTTAGCAGCCAGCTGTGAGTGCGTGCCTGCTCTTTCATTAGAGGCCCACTGATGAATTTAGATGTCTGGTTCAAACAGCGGGGACATCAGAACTGGGCTGTTGCTTTTTTTGCGCTGAACGAATGCCTTAGTTTGGTTCACTTTGTATAGCTGTCCAAATTTGCCCAGGCTGACTTCGAGTGGTTTGTTGGACATTGCAAATAGATCTAGAAATGAGGAGAGAAAGAAAATGTTTTGCAAACCTTACAAAACATATTCCAATTATTTAAATTCAGTTGGAACAGAGCAAAATATAGATATGGATAAATATATATTGCACTTTGCAGCTAACTATGTAAACTGATAAAAAAAAAATTGCTAAAATCTATACTATGACTTTTGATGTGATGTTTTATTCAGCTTTTCACATCAAAGGACACTTCTTCTTGGTCCATTGACTTTTTCAGCTTGTATTTTCATTTTACACATTTTCTACACTGGTATTACACTGAATTTTATATGTTTGTAATAACAGCCCAAAATGCAATTGTATTGGCAATTTGTAGATTCAAATTTGCACTACAGCTAGGCTAGCTAAGAAATTTTGAAGGGTGATATATTAATTCTGAAACTCACGATAAACAATAATAGTGAAATTGAAAATATATACCACTTTCACAGTAACCTTAAAGCTGGATGATCATAATAAATCCTTTTCTAAGTGAATCATATCAAACATGTACAAATAGTACAATGAAACACTAAAATAGTTAATTCAGTACCTACCATGTGCTATGTATGTTAATTATTGGACCATCTACAACTGAAATATCATTACATAGCCCCACAATTTCCCTACAAAGGTACAAATGATAATATTGTTCATCTATTATATATTATTATACAATAAGCTGATAAAGTAATTATCAAGACCAGTCAACTACAGATCCTAAATGTAGTGTGTTGTTGATTTGTTCTCTGATTTCACAACATGCTCTCAGATGATTCACCGTGGACAGTGACTAACCGGCTTTCTGTTCTGCAGTTAGTCATCAAAATCAGTTCATTAACCCCCATAGAGAAGCAGTGATGTGTTTACTGCAGCCAGCCACAAGCTCATTGACAGACAGTAGAATAAGATTACAAGATTACAACCAGAGTGGACATGTGCTCCTCAGGCTTAATTTGATTAAAACTCCTGCAGCTGCCTACTACTCATCTACAGTATGGAAATGAGTCAGTGGTGATAATGAGGATGTCTATTAATTACTGTTGTTACATCATTTATAGCTATTGGCTCTATACCACTATGGCTTATTGTGCCGTACCTTACATATATAGTATTGTACTTTATTTCTCGTAATTATCTTGAAGAAAAACTTTTTTGAGAAGGGTGGTATGGTTACATAAGAATTTTAAAAATATGGGGACTCTGTAGTGCAAAAGTATAAGTAAGCAAAATTTAAAGTTGTGTTGGAAATATGATAAAACTGTCTAGACTATTTTGTGCGTGTCTATAATGCTGTTTAATGCATACAGAAGAGCACCCCATGTTAATCAGAAGTGACCCAGAGAGCACTAATGTTTGGCAAACAGAGATAATGCTGTAGGTATGGTTGGCTTATCAGCAAAACTGAAACCAATTCTGAGAGGATTAGAGGCTTATGTAGATTAATGGTCTTTTTGAAATATTGAAAAATCTGTAATTTTGCAGGCCAATTTACTCTTATTTGTTTCAATGAATAGACAAAACAATACAGATGTTTATGTCGCCATCCTCATCATAATAGATATGACACAAGCTGGGTATGTGGACACAGCACTGACAGTGTGTGGTCACGTGGTGGGAGGGCTCTGAAGGTGTGGCAGGTTGTGCTTAACGGGGATTAAAGTGGACACAACCCTCACATGCGTCTCTCCTATGACGGAATAACAACACAAGGAGAAGTGGGGCGCATGATGGCACGACTCTGCGCACTCAGGTAAGTCTATAATGGCCAGGCTATATTAGGCCTACGTATTGCATTAAACTTATTACAGTGAATATTTGATGGCATAGATAGGGCAAGTCTTTGAAACGCACTAAGCCTTATTACTCAAGAAAGAGTGTAATCTTATTTACAAGTCTGCATTAATGCTTGGACACATGGCTGAAGTGTGCGCAGCTACCTGTAGGCTATGCTAACAGTCTTCACCAAAATAAATTACGTAAAGTGATAGCTATTTGCCTCGCTACGTTGAATGTAAAACTATTCAACTTTAAGATGTCTTGCACGGCGCGAGTACTAGCCAGGGTCATGTGGTCGTTGCGCGTTGGAGTGTGTTGATGAACGTTTTGGCGCAGCTGTCTGATTGGCACGCTCTTGTCAACTGCCAGCCTAAAATACACACACGGAGCGCACTTGAATCGAACAGGGAGAAGAAGAAGCTGTGGATAAGTAGCAGCGATCAACCACAAAGGGTCAAAGGTGAAGAAAGAGAGCGACTAGACGTTTTAAAAAAGGAAACTTTGATTTAGCCAACCGCATTACGCACGGAGTGTTATGACTTTGAACATGGGAATATAATGCGGGACATGCTATTTCTTGTTTGAGGAGTAGATTGTGCTGGTAGGCTAACTGATTGTTGATAACAATTTCATTTATTTATCATATGGGCATGGTGCCAGTTAATGGACAGGTAAACAATGTTACTTTATGTAGGCCGAACTGAAAAACAACCTTTGTTGTTTGTTTTACAGTTGTTGTCTTGGTTACTTTGAATCATTTTCCTAGGCCCTTGAGTGAGTAATTTCCCCTGGTGTGGTCATGCAGTGTAATTTCAGTCTTCAAATTTTTGAGTGCAGCTGTTATATTTCACACTGGCACCAACTGTTCCACTGTGAGGGCAGCTACTGTGCGGCCAGTTGCCTCTACAAGTGGCATAAGCATCCTTGTTATGCTTCTGATTTGAAAAATCTAGAAGGTGGAGTTGACTAAGCTGACAACTGGAGGTACTGACAACTACAAAAATGAATGAAGGCATTAGTCCATTGGAGAGGGAGCATTCTCTTTCTGTGGTGCTGCCAGGAGGGCTGGAGAAGAACACAATTGTCCATGGAAGGTAAACATATATTCATATTTTAAATCTTCTTGCTTCTCATTTCCTTAAAGTATTTGATCTTGTATAGTAAACCAGTCATGGACTTGCTGGTGACCCTTTGCGCCAGTCACCACCTCAACCCTTCAGAATACACCGTTGAAGTCCTATCGCCAAACAAGAATAATATCAGCTTTAAGCCGAACTCACCTATTGGTTTACTAGAAGCTGAAAAGATAGTTTTGAAGCCCAGAGCAGGAGAAGGGAAAATCAGAACACCCTACATGCCAGAGGTAAGAGTTGCCGACCTCATTTAGATGTTGTAAATACTTATATTTGTTGACATATTTCTATATTTGCAGGCAACTGTACGCCTCTTAATAAACTACAACAAATCCCATAAGGCCGTGGTGCGGGTGAACCCAAGACTGCCCCTGGAAAAGCTGCTGCCGGTGGTGTGTGACAAGTGCGAGTTTGAAGTGGAAAGTACAGTTTTACTGAGAGACTCTGAGTCTAAAGAACCACTGGACCTGAGCAGGACTTTGAATGAGCACGGCCTGAGAGAGGTGTATGCCAAAGACACAGCAGCCAAAGAATGTACTGGACATCTGCCCCACACTGCAGCAGGTAAGACTGAAAGTGCCAACTGCAGAAGACATCACAAGACTCTATAGGCTTATATAGGGTGAGGTAAAAAATAAAAATCTGATCCCTGTGACAGTCTGCTGTTTTGGGTCAACTGTCATATGATGATTCACACATTTTCTCTGCAATACAGTTATTTGCACAAACATCCATTTCTCTTGAAAAAGTTCCTCATGGCTCTGAGTCAAGTGGTTTGTCAACTTTCAGAAGAAGCAAATGACTTTTTGGTACATCAGAAAACAGTGTGATGTGGGTCCTTTAAGATCTATATTATTATGTTGTTTCCTCATCAAACACATACCTAGAGTTGTGTTTTGTTTCATTCACACATATAACACCCAAACCCTACATAGTTCTTGTCTCAAACAAAGAACACTCCACCTTATGATGTCAAGTAGTAAAACAAGAAGTGCTCCACTGTGTTTTTAAACTCCATGCACCTTCACTAGAATCATTTGAAAAAATTTAGCCCTGGAATCTACTTAACTAAAGGTAAAAGGTAGCTGTTAACTTAAAAACTACCACTACCTGACATCACAAGTTGGAACAGAGCATTCTGAGCTTTGGAGATGTAGACACACTAATGGTAAAAGGTTACTCAAACAAGTGTGAATGAAACAAAACACAACTACAGGTATGTTTTTGATGAGATAACAACATTATAACATGGCTTATAGCTTTCAAATCAGCATTGTGTAATATAGGACCTTTTAAAAGCTAAAGAAATATACGAAGTGTATAGAAGTCATGATAAAATTGTTATTGTGATTTGGCTCGAAGAAAAAAATGTACATATCTCCCACAACTAGGTTTATAATATTTAATGATCAGGGCCAAGTAAAATTCCAAAAAGCACAACTGAATTTTTTAAGTGTTAGCAAGATTTACCCTGCATTTCACAGAAAATACATGCTCATGTTGTCCACCTGTTTTTCATAATAAATATTTTCTATTCAAAACAGACGTCACTCCAACCAAGTTTTCCTCATCTTCCTCACTTCAAGGTAAGGTTGTTTACAGAGACATTCACCACAAAAGCAGCTATTTCTCCTATAAAATATACTATTAGGGATCTGTTGAATTTCTAGATCTGACAAAAAAGGAGAAGAAAAAGTCTGACAACCATGGACTCTTTAGCTTATTCAGAAAAAATAGAAAAAAATCTGAACCGGTAAGTCAAGCTTTGGACACTTATTGATTTCTTTAAAAATAAATGTTGTTCTGTCTTTTCACATCTGCCTTGCCTTTTTTTATCAGAGTCATACTGTCAGTGCCCCAACCTCTCCTGGACTCAAGTCAAGATCAGCTAGCGTTAGCACTCAGGATGTAGCCTCATATATTAGCCCACCTACAGATCAGCCAAAGAAGAGACGTGCCCCTCAACCACCCATGGGTGCATCCAATAGCACCCCCAACAATCTCAGCACATGCCACTTAACACAGGTAATGTCCCATTGTCCTATTTTGAGAAATATTTATATAAAATTCAGCAAAAGGTTTTAAAATGGTCATATTTGTGCAGAGGTCTGGTGATGATACACTGAGAAGCACCAAAAGGAGAGCTCCACCACCACCAATTGCAATCCATGACCAAGACAATCACGTAGACACAGCTGAAGGTAAAAAGCAACTAGTACTAAAAGTTACATCTTTCCAGGTTAAAATGACTTGAATTAAGAAAATGTTAATTGGATGTGAGTAAATTTCACTTGACAAGTAAAATGATCTATCAATGGAACAAGTCTTTTTGTAGTTAAAAACAACTCCAATGAAGATAAGAAACTAAATCTTATGTCGTTTGAACCAAGAAAGAAATATTTATTCCATTATTAGATCATTTTACCTGTCAAGACAAATTGACTCATACCAAGTTAAATGTTCTTAATCTGAGTAAATTAAATTTATCTAGATATTATTTGATTTTATGCCGTAAACTAAGACAAAAATTAGTATCCTTCTAGTGATGAGTGCTAGTGGAGTGGTGAGTGTCTGAAGAACCCATGTCAGCTAATATAATAGTGAAGAAGGGTAATAGTCCCAATTGACCCCTCGCAGTGCTCTAGTTCAAATCAAATGTATTTAACGAGGGTTGAGTTTTTGAATCTGCAAAAAAAAAGTGCATCTTGAAAGCACCCTAAGGTCGACAGAGATTGAAGTAAAATCAAGATTAAAATGTCAGCGCAGCTTGGAAGATTTAGCAGTTAAAACCGGCGCAAAATGCCTCTTTTTATCAGTCCGAACAATTTAACCCCGCTCAGGGCAATTAAAGTGACCTAAAGCCCTTTTCATTGGCTGCAGAGCGTTCCCAGATAAATCCTTCTATTGTCCACTGGTCCATTCCCTTGTATTAGTCTAACATGCTTTTCCTGCTTTTTGTGCTTGGCTCCTTTTTTCTTTCTCTGTAAATTGTCAACATGTGTTTTAGCAATAATTAAATTTCTTTATTTTGCCCTTAAGAGAATAACTCAAAATCAAAAGTTTAGTCCACTCTCCTGGCCGCTGCTGTTTTCGCTGTTTGACTAATTGGCTTCAGTGGTGGAGTGAGGGCCGGGAGGCTAGAACAACAACTGCCCATCTAGGGTTCATTAAAACCCACTGATGCTCCTACACACTTTTAAACTTTACTCAGGAACTTTTCAACTTGAACGTTGTGTCTCCTGCTTGCAGATTGTGTGTTACCTGGAGGGGCTGGTTGAGGGTTGCTTCTCCTTTGTCTCTGCTCCTTGCACCACCCTTCTCCAGTCTGCTCCATGATGGCCTCTTCTCCTTTGTATTAGTGGCTTTATGCTCCTGTCTGATGCACACAAATGCTTGTTGTTTGAGTTGTGCCATTGTTTTTGATTGTTATTTGTATAATAATATATGTATTTTTTATGGTTTTGTGACTGTCCCATGCTTGCTGCTCCGTATTGTTGGCTTGGTGCTTTGTATGTTGCTTTTCATGCTCTATATTTTTTATCCAGATTTAGTAATTAGGAAGTCTTTCCACAGCTTCTCTTGTGCTGAGGTATATTATATTTGTTTTAAAACCAACACATATTTATCAAAATAAAAGTCTGCTAACACCAAATGCATTTTAACAAAGACAAACAAATCAAAATATTTAACTGTAGTAATGATAGTAGATACAGAACACAGTACTTGGATATTTTAGTTTAAAAACAGCCCCAAAACTGTCAGCCTGGAATTACTGTTGATCACATCTCCACATTTCTTTATACATTTCTGTTTCAGTGTTGACTTTACTCATTATAATAGCTCTCAATATAATAACAGCCCTGTCTAGTAGTCAAAGAATTATTATTGACATATGCTTTTACATGACTTTATAGATTCTCTCAAATCTTTGGAGGAACTGAAAGAGTCTGAGGAACCTGAGTCTGTCAGTCATCCATCACTATCTGCATCCTCTTCATCACCTCTTCCACCACCACCATCTCCATCATCTCCATCATCTGCTCCTCCTTTCCATAAGCCCCCAGACTCAGATCGGCCCTTCATCCATGGCAAAGACCTGTCAGACGCACGTACTGCTCTGGCTAAAGTCCTCACATCTTCTCTATCCACTGGAGTGCTGGTCAAACGCCTCAAAAACTCCACCGCCATCCCCAACATACACAATGGCACGTCATGTACATTAGAAAATGACACAGAAATAAAGTCAGCTCTGAATGTTACAGATTTACCAACTGAAAATGAGTTTGAGGACCCCGCAGACAGGAAAGGGTTAACAACATTTAAAGTGGTGCCTTCTAGGAGAGAAAGTGACGCAGAACCCACCCAGGATGTCCCAGCGAAAGAGGAGGAGACGGAGGCTGAACTTGAAAAAGCAGAAGAACAACAAGTCATTCCAGAAACTGACCAATCGCTGAAAGCGGAAGATGATCCTGACCAATCAGAACGCAGCTCACCCATAGCTTGTCCAGATGAGGGGGAGAGCACTTCCTGTTCTCCTCCACTTGACAGTAGTAGTTCAAATCTAGAGGAGGTTGAGGACATTGTTGAAACTACAAAACAAAATGGAGAAACGGTGGTTAATGATGACAAAGTGGAAGAAAAGTCAGACCAATGTCATGAGACCGATGAGGGTGAGTTGTATTTTGGTGAAGAGGAAGTTGAAGATAGTCATACAGAATCAAATGCATGTGAGTCCAAAACATGTGATGATAATGATGATAAACAAAATATACACGAGGACAATTTCCCTCCCCCACCTCCTCCAATTTATTTCAAAGAAGATTTGAATGAAGCCAAAGCGAGCGCGTCTGGCACTGTCACAAATGAACATGGGCGCTCCGATAGTGAGACCCCAATAATCACAGCTGGAGATTCGGAGAAGGTGGTCCCAGCCCCCTCCATGTTTGCACAGGCCGTAGCTGCGGCAGTGCAGAGGTCCAGGCTTCACAGTACAGGGAAGACCATAAGTGCACCGGTTCACCAAGATACACAAGAGGACAACTAGGAAGTACATTTTAGTAGTTTTATTTCAATGATTGTGTACATAAACCTGCACATCTGCCTCTTTTTAGGTGCCTGCAAGAGTCAGACAAGCTCAAGACTGTTTAAAATTAAGTGAATAATATGTTTTGTATTCCTGTACTAGACACTTAATTTATTCCACACATTAGTTATGTTTTCAAGCTGAACTAAAACATTTTCTGTTGCCAAAGAGGCCAAACTTTCTGTACAGGAACCGCATGCCTATATGAACTTATGACATTTTTTGTGTGATAACTTCTAAGTTCTGCAGTTAAATAGGTGCTTGATTCTGTGTGGTTATGTTATATCGAGGTACATACTTAACCTTATCAGATATGCAGTGTAGAATTTTAAGTGTGATCGTTTTCTTTACCAGCAGGTGGCACTAGAGCTCTGTTTGTGAAGCTTGTGACTGTTGTGTCCTTTATTATCGGTCTATACATAATCTAACTGAAATTATGAAGTTAAATGTCTAAATTATGACATAATGTGGAAGTTGTTTCAGGACTTATTTATTACTATATTTACTTAAATAGACTTCCCCCTGTGACATTGTCTTAAATCACTACGATGACAATGTACACAATAAAAATATATCTAAACACATGGGACTGTTTTTTAGAATCACTCGTAGGCCAAAATTCCTTGTTGGAATCATGGGTTGTATGCCAAACATTTGCAGGGCTTCCTGGATGGAGTAGTCCACTTTGCTCACATGCACTTTCTGTTATGTCTTTAACGGACCCAGAGCTCGGGGCAGTGCAGATATACTCTGGTGCCAAAAGAATTCATAGCACCATGTATTGATCCAGTCCTGGCCTTGGAGGAACAGTGAGGAGCTGAGAGGAAGAGGCCCAGCCAGAACAGCCGGTGGCTACAGCTCCGTGTTGCCAGGCCCGGACTGAGTGGGATCCTCTCCTCGCTGCACCTGAGGAGGAATGGGGGAGATGGGGGAGATAGGAGGGTCCTGCTGGATGATGGGAGCTGACCGCTGACCCTGTCGTGTTTCCTCTACGCTCCCCCCAGAGGAGCGCGCGGCCCTCAAGGGCACAGTCGTGTCACACTGCCGTTGTCATGGAGAATGCCATTACCGCCCCTAAGGGAGAGCCACGTCCACCGTTTAGAAAAACCTGCAGAAGAGAAGCATACACACATGCCAGCCCAGGAGTTTTTTCTCAGCACAAAGTCGTGATAGCCAATATAAGTGACACGTGTGGCATTAGTGAAAGGTTGGATTTCAACCTGAGCACAAATGTTGAGATCAGACTCAGGATTATGCAGACATCGCTAACAAAGAGGAACCTTGAGCCCATAATGCAACTTAACACAAATGCTACTCTGTCATGGCTGTTTAGTCTGAACACTGTCATCTTCAGCACAGCTCACAAGGGACAAAACACGAGCTCGTTTGGTTCATGAACAGAGGAATAGCTGATCTGAGGACATCTGAGTCACGTGACCCCAGTCTGAGCGCGGTCCAGACAAATGGATCAGCCTCACTCCAGAGTACACCTTCCACAGCTCAACACACTTCTAATTCAACAGGAGGTCCAGTGCATCACTGTGCGTAATTGTCTTTCCAAAGAGTTTAATTGCATGTATAGATTATAAATCAGCCTGCTACACATTTGACCATCAGATAGACTCCATCTACTGGAGAGTTGCTGGGCGTATTAAGTGGTAGAACTTGGTTCATACTGTATGTAGAAAGCACACACAGTAGAAAAACACATAAACGTCTTGAATCAATAATACAATAGCTGGCCCACACAAACACCGGTAATGCGCATTTATCATTTATTTATTCCTTCATATCACCATTCATCTCTACTTAGTTTTCCATCTGATGTGCGTGCCTGGTGGTTTGAAGATGCCCACGAGCTGGTCCAAGTCAGAATGTGATTATAAAACAGTGGAAAGGCCCGGGGCGCGCAGCATCGCATCGGCAGAGATCCACTGTGCCGTGCGCTTGTGTGTGCGTATTGTAGCCTGCTAATATATGTGTGTTTACATGGCACCTCCGTTGCTTGGCTCGAAATAATCAATAGATGAATCACCCAAAGCATGTGTTGTTCTCCCCAGGCAATGTGGTGCGGCTTAATGCTATTCTTTCCCATTCACCTTGGGAGCGGCATCCATCGGGCCTCCCCCCTAAAGAGTGAGGTACGCTTGCCTAAAACATCACCAGCGCTCGAGGGGGGAGCGCTTTGGAAAGTGATGCGGGGAGAGCTCAGTTTGACCCCATGACCTCCTCCATGTTTGCGCTCGCTTCCCTCCTCTTTGGCGGAACGGCAAATCACACAGTTCCCGCCTCATTGGCAGTGTCAGGCGCTTACAGTAGTGCTTCTCTGCATTGTGCTGCTGGTTAACTGGTTCAAATGTTATGGAAATGATATTTACCTCTTCTTTGATCCTGTAAACTCCACACACACACACACACGGGCCTCACTTTTTTCTCTCGCTCAGGGTAGAGTAGACGCTATAAATACATTCAAACAGGAAAAAATAGATACGTGATGTGTCTTTTTTAAATACCCATCCAAACTAAATCAATCATTTTTGTTAGCTTTTTGAATCGTCTTCCACAAAGAACACGCAGAAAGATTTTTGACAGGAGCCTCAAAGTCAAGTCGGTTTGATTCATGGGCCCGGGCAGCGCTGCGTAACACTCCAAACTAAACACATTGGCGATATTCTATAGGCTGCGTAGGGCCATGGTGGACAAGCGGCTATCTATGTCATTTTTCTTCATTCATCCATCCAGGGAGAGGGAGCGCGTGATTGTGATGAATGGACACTGCCCGAGATCCAATGTGGTGACAAACTGACACAATCACGGCAGTTAATTCGTCACCAGCGGCTGTCCCTTTGATCAAAACAGACGCCCCTGCCCTCGTGTCTATACAATGAGACAAATTAGCGTTTTAATACCAAGCAATGCGCTTTTTCTGGCTCTGAGTAACGTGCCAACTTTACGCACCCCACGCACATATCTTTGACTGGGATCTAATCACAGTAACAATTATTGGGAAGTCGCTCAGAACTTTAGAGTGGTGAATAATGAGGATTGAGTGACAGTGTAGTGCCGCGAGTGACCAAGAGGGGGCACGGTAGCCACTAGTTTAAATTACAAGCATTACCATACGCCTCAGAATGATGATATTGAAGTTTGATGACTTTGTTATGCGCTGGTAACTCATTTGATTAATTATACTTACGTACACTTTAATTGTTTGAATTCTCTCTCATTTGTTTTATCAATAATGAAAGTCACCCTATGCACAGTTCATAAATAAAGCATAATTTCAGTTTTGTCATGAACAATTTCTAATTTAAAACAAAAAACAAATAATAGATAATAATGGGCTGAGATAACTTCCTTATTAGGTTCGTAGTTCTATAGTTGTAGTATTTTTATAGGATTTTGTTTGCAATATTGTCAAATAAGATCACCAATATTGAGTCCAAGTTTCAGTACAATCTGATTTTCAAATAATAGGAGTGCTTGGGCAGAAGTCTCTCCAAATGTCTACACATCTCCTCTGTGATGTTTTCTGTAGTTTAGTAAAATTAACACACCAATTCCTGTTTCATTCTTAAAAACACACACTCACTTTTGTAAGGCTTTTAAAAGTTTTGTGTTGAATACCAATTTGCACAATTTTCTTTCCTCTTGATGGAGCTCCTGTACCCAACACATCCCTCTATATATTTTTTTTCTATTTTTCTTCTTTTTGTCTGTCATCATTAATAATTCATCTCCCTTTCTTGGATGCTAAAACAACAACAAACAGAACAACAGCTTCTGATAATGTATTCAGTCAAAAGCTCATTGTCTGGGGGGTGGGGGGTAAGAGAAGGAAGGGGACAGCGAAATGTGCACTGGAGTGAGACAAGAGAGCACCCCGACAGGGAGAGGCTCAATGTCACGCGGAAGAAAGAAAAACAAACGCCAGAAGGCAAGAAAAGAGGAAAAAATGACAGAAAAATACAGTTTGTAAGTCATAAAAGACCAATTAGAGGCATTAGGGCCCGCAAATGGAGATGAATAATTTGAGCAATTTCGTTTAAAAATGGCTGGCCAAATGGGACATATTTTTTAGCTTTCAGAAAACAGTAATTCAAGTCTATATGGCATGATAGACTTTTACTTACGCCTCTCTCAGACCCCCACAGTGACACCCGGCCCCCCTCCCACTCCACTATTTCGCAACCTTGGATGGCCCTGCGTTCACATTACACCATAATAGATCATGAGTCATTGGATTTTAAGCCATCACACAAGCACAATGCAAGCCACATTAGACACCATTATTTAGACTCTTGCCTAACCCTAGATTTAACACTATAAGAGTTAAATTGATACCCCCATGTCTTCTGCTTCATGCTTATAAATTGCAATACCGCGCGTTAGATATTGTGATTTCTAGACATCCACCTATAGAAAAAAATACATGGAGAAAAATGAATCACCTATAGCTATACTGCAAGATCCATTCAAAGCATTCAAGGTAGAGTCCTGATTGACACCTCCAAGCTGTGTTTCGGCTGGCTCTCGCGTCCATTTCTGCAGATCCTGGTAAACATGAAGAAAAAAAAGCACAAGTAAGATAATTTAGTCCAATTAGAGCTAGAAAAAATAAGATAAAAAAAGTCGTTTGATGAAAAATGTCAGGGTATAATTGCCTGTAGTAACTGCATTTGTACTTTTAAAATGTGATGCTGTGTCCTTGCAGCAAGTGGCTAAATTAATTTGTACAATACACCTAGTGCTAATTAGCAGCACACATCTGATTGGCTGTTGCAGAATTTGTACTCAAAATTCAAAAGTAATAATTTAAGTTTAAAAAAAAGGTGGTAAAATTTTTGAAGAAGTATAAAGTTTGAAGTCTTTGAAATTTACAAAAAAACAAAAAACAAAAAACAAAAAGGCAGACCTGTACAAGACTATTACAACATTATAGTCACAGCTCACCAATGTTCTGCAACAGACCCAGGGTGTTGTCTACGGAAGGGCATCCAGCTTAAACTTACTCCAAAGCAAAATCACTCCACTCAATGACGCAAAGGATTGGAGCAGTGACACAAAAGGGAGACTGCTGTATGTTACACTATTGAAACTTGCTGCTACTAAATTGAACAAATCAATTCTGATGTGATCAAAGAAAGAATTATATTAAAAAGATGCTAAATTCATGTCCAGGTCTGTGAGAATTTCAATTTTTCAGCTGCGTATCTTTTTATAATGAGTGATGGAGGACGGTAGAGAAGCAATGTAGATGCATGAAAGAAAGCTGTTGCAGAAAAATCCATTCAAGGCCAATGGGAGGGTCCACAGTGTATTTCCAATGGGGCGAGATAAAAGACATGGGTAATAACTTGTCTAACCTGAAAAGCTATGTTGACAAATGTTTGCGAGTATTTTGCTAAGCTGTATCACCGGACTATACCCAGAAATGCTTTTACCAAATCTATCTTTTTATTGTTGCGAAGAATACACAAAACTTGCGCTGAATCGAAAGGTGAGAGGTTCCGGACCTAAAAAACATGTTGTTTGCGAATATCTTTTATTAAGAGTTTGTGGAGATGCTGCAAGGGGCCAGG